GCATTAACACAATGAATAATTTAAAGCTATGATTATCCAGTAATGTGGTATTTCGCCGAGACTCAAACCTTAATTTCGAGAAATGCCGTAGAATTACCAAAACTTATGTTGTAGACATGGTTGTACTTTTCGTCATTTGTTAATCATCATTACCCTGCGATCATCATTGGTCAGCTAGGTTCAACATTGCGATTTGTATTTCTATCTTATTTTTATCATGCCAAGATGTCCTAAGTTTCGCAATCAGATATAATACTCCGTTTTTTATTTGTTGTTCTATTTTCTTTTGAGGCAAAACATGGGCGTCCATCGGGTTCGGTATTTTTAGTGACGATGGGCAAGCTCGCTTGATTAGATTCTTGTACAGTCTCCCAAGTTGATTTGTTTTCTTCTCAAACGACAATATACCTCTCCAATGCGGTGGTCTTCTTCTTGTTTGTTTTTAGCGAGATTCAATTCACTGTCAAATAGAGCTCGGCTAAGGATGTATAAAATTATCAGAGGTCGACCATCCGAACTGTTCGAGGCAGCAATGGCTACGTGATCTCTCATTTTGTACATTTACTGTTTACATTATGTGTATTTTCTGTTATTTACTGTTCACTGTGCTGACTAGTCTTTACTTAAGAAAAACAATCGTCTTCCTTTGAGATTTTCCTTTCCGTTAACCCAGAAAACATAAAAAAGAATTCGCTTTTTTGGCTTGAGTAGAAAATGCTTCTTCCACATTAATGGTTATAAAAACTATAAACTATTCAGTCCTTCAGTAAACTGGCATTAAGATACGGGAAAGTATTTCCACGAAAAATACGACTAAAAACAACCGATCCAGTTATACTCTGTTATTAGATATCAACGAGTGTTCTCCGTCGCTGATGCCTGTGACGTTAAAGGCAAGAGCAAAAATACCGTTGGATCTTGACACACATTGGATTAATTCCTCCCTACACGTCCAAGGAGAGGGCTAGACTCGGTTGCAGACTCCAAGATAGCATAAATGCGCAGAGATTGTGAAAACTGATCCAAAAAACACGCGCCTTGTTTTCCCTTGACCTTGTTCTCTCGACATCCCTGCTATTTGAGAGTTCCCGGGGGGAGGTACTTTAGGAATGTCTGGGTAGGGATGTCGTGCCGGTTAGCCTCGCAAGCAAGCGTTTTTAAAGGAGTCGTATTTTCCTCCGTAAAGACGCCTGCGTGGGAGGTTATGTGCGGCTTATAGGACCCCACGACCTTTAGCCGAGAGCGCAGCTTATTAGTCTAGTAAGCTCTCCACTTGTAGCGAGCGAAGCAAGCCGCGAGAGAACGGGTGAGCAAGCGGACTTACGTCTCCTTTCGCGAGCTACTCTCACGTTAATTCTCGTCTCGTTTACCGGTCGTTTCGATACCTGGACGTCTCGATGCAAGTCGTTTCGATACAAGTTTATTCAGTCGATTTGTGAATACGGTTTCATTCCACGGACTTGTTTAGAGAACAAAGGATCCAAAACGTCATTCTTGTTGACACGCAAACCACAATTGAAGTGATCAAAATTTTTTGTGTAATTTCACTGCTTGAGCTCGTATCGAAACGACTTTGTATCGAAACGACCGGTTTCCGGATATCTCAGATAGTTTTTGTAAATGCCAAAATAATATAGAAGACTGTGAATTTTAATCTTGAAACACACAAACGAGTCTACAGTTAACGCTTCGAAATAGTTATTACCTAAAAATATTTGTACAGTTGTATTAAAGGTTTAGTTGACATCAACAAAAGTCTGGTAACGCATCAAACTTTAAGAAAAGGAAACGACAAATTCATTTTTAAAGCACTTTGTCTGGTCTCTCCAAATTTCTCTCGTTTGATCACGATCAAGAAAACAGAAACTTCTGCTGTAAATTTAGCACGTAGAAAACCAAAGTAGAGCTTTTAAGTAATACTTGGTAACTTGGGCCATCTTAAACAATACTTCTAAGTCTACAGTCTCTTAGGCTTTGTCTACGCTATACCAGATAGTTTTCCGTGTCGACGCGAAAACCTTTCCGGAAGAGTATGAACAGCAAAGGCCCAAAACAGCAACAAGTCGTTCACACAAAACAAACATCAATTACATCGATCAACATCGTACCGGAGCGGTTGGTCCAGAGGGTTTGACGCACTAAACTTCCGTCTCAAAGGTTTCCAGTCCTCGCTCATACTTATTCACTTCCGCTACGGTCCGACTGTACCAAACTTACCCGATATGTGACGCTTCAACTTCGAGATCAGCTCGACGCATCTTCGCTCCGTCAGGGAATTACGCCGAAATCACTGTTCTTATGTGTGAACACGCAGAAGTCCTTTCCGGTATGCGCGCTCTGATTCTGTTGATATTAAAAGCGCCGGCCTACTATTGCATGTCAGGGCGCTTACCACTAGTCCGCAGAACTGGCTGGCCAAAGCAGCCCAAACGTTAAGAGAATTCCGCTGTTCATCAGATACGTCCAGCTAGATCAGTCTAATACCTAACCATAGGATACCGAGCCGTGCTGGGGTGATTGAGAAAACTCTAAGAAAAGGACTATTTCCTTTTTAAGATATATGTATATAGAGAACGGGTCTGGCCAATCAGACCTGACTTTGGTGAATGCCTCAAGTTTCTCCGAGTCCTGAAGTCCTTTTTGAGAATTGGCCAAACATTTACTTGTCCACGCGGCCGAAACTGAAATGGCTACAGTTTGTTAACTGATGGCTGAGAAGCATCCACAACTATCAGCTGAGATGACTGAACTTTTTTTTCCCATACATATGAATGTATCAATTTTTTTATTGCTTTTTTATGGACCGAGACGAAGTCTGTTGATGATTTTCCCCGCATGTTCCACGTTTCCTCTGAGTGTATATCCCCTTCCCCTCCCCTTCCGCTCGTACTCTTTAGCAGTTTCTCTTCGTGCCATACTCCATAAGACTGAGAACCTGTTCATAGGCTATTTTCATGGGTTTAGATCTGCCGAAAACCACGAGGATGCACAAACCAGGCGTTCCTGGTGAAAAATTGTTGTTGAACCTGTTCAAGTCGTAGGATACGATTCGAAAAGCGTTTATCTTACTTATCAATAAAACTATTTTTACATATCGCCGCGTTGCTGTATATTCTACGCAGTTAGAACTCATTAGCACAAGTCCGATTGCTAGCCAGTCAACGGCCGCTCGTGAATGTTGAGACGACATCCTTTTTAAAAGTGTTTATTTTCTCAAAATGCTCCAAGGAATAACCATGAATGATTAAAACCTCAAAGGAAAACCTCTTAACATCAAGAATTTCTTATCTTAAGTGATTCTTTAAATTCGTTGTGTTTAGTATAAACCGTTTAAGAACGCTTTTTTATTTTGAGCCTACTCTCGTAATAAACCAAGTACCAGTTTTTAAGGGTCAAATCGCCAATGAACTGCGTTAGTAAATACGCAAATTATGTTTATTCGGCGGTGAAAGCTTCTACAAAAGAGAATTGTTTTAGTTCGATTATTTTGCGCCTACATGACATCTATCGCGTTAGATCATTTAAAAATTAATAAAAGCAACTCTTCGCGATCGTGGAGCTTTTCATAACCTGGAGAAAACATTTCAATCTTGGTGTTAAATGAAAATTAACTCCACAAAAAGAAGAAAAATTCTTTACGGAAAGAGTCGCTTCGAATGAGAAGCAAACGACAGGCAATATCGGACGTCGGCGTGTGGTTCATTATAGCTATACAAACCTAGATTTCTTTCTTTTTTTAGCGATAATAAAGTAGAAATGCGGAACAGCCCTTGTGTGTATTCACATCAACTAAAGTTCTTTATTTTTTCTTTAATTCACACATAAGCGCGTGCATCGTGGGATTAACAAAGGTTGTGTTTTGAAATTCATATAATTTAAACTCGACACTGACATCAACAAACACCCTGTATATTGATATTTTATGGCTGAGAGCAACGTTTGGTTAGTGATTGGGATCAAAAGCTACTTGTGTGCACAAAGAAATAATGGTATAACAAAACATTGTTATGGTGTCACGTAATTATGTCAAAAAAGTCACATAAAATGGCAGCGAAATACATTTTTGAGGGAAAAATTTTGTTGTTTTGATAGAAGTAATTTATGACCAAAATAAAGTAAGAAAATGGACTTAAATTATGATGAAATAATACGTATATAAGATCTTGTTTTTCTCGCGTTTCTTTAAAGTGCTGTCAACATTATGCAAATTTTCTCTGTAGGCTTCTATGGATATGCAAATTTTCAATGCTATCAAAACGACCTATACATGTATTCGGCATCACTGAAAAACGATGTTACCAAAAAATAACCTTTAATGAAAAGATTAAGAGATCGAAGCTTTAATCCTCATTCGCCAAAGTGTTAGCGGATTTCAACAATGGGATTACCAATGAGACACTTAGATGTAAGTCGCTAGGCAAAAGCTAAATCGCATGAGTTTTACAGGCAAATGAAGAGAAACCAGAGCATATTAGAGTTTCCACGGAGATATTTGTCTTCTCCTTGATCTTATTCACAAGAATCGGAGAAAATTTTTTCGATATAAAAGTTTGTTACAGCTAACGAGAACCGGAAATAAGACGCTTTCTATTTCCTGTACTTAAGGGCATGATTTTTAACACTGAACCGCGAAGCCTCGAAAGTAGCCACACATCGTTGCAGCAAGATATTTAAAATGCAAAACGCACCGAAGTTTACAGGGAAAATTCCACAATGGGAAATTACTTTAAGGAAAGGAAAAAGGTTTATTTTTTCGTTTATTTAACATTAGGTATCCAAAACCAAGGAAAAAGTTTGTCTCAATAACGTTAGGAGCTAGCCAATCACAATCTTCGATGACTTTGTTTAGGTATTGCCATCACGTGTAGGCGTCACGTGGGTACCGTTGATTTTTCCTACGAAACTTCTGATTGGTCAAAAGATAATTGGATCTGTCAAGACTAATAATTGCCATGATGAAAGCAACAATAAGCTGTCAATTATTATTTTTAGTCCCCTCCCCGGAGAGTTGGACTGGTTAAACTTGGGAATATGGAAGAAAACGAAGCCACGCGAATTAGAGAAAATTTGTAAAGCTAGTCGTGTTCGCGGAAATTCCCCCCGCGCTAACAGCGCATGGAAAGCTGTTAAAAAAATTCAGAATTATTTGGGCTGAGTGCGGTTTGTCAGCTTGGAGAATTGATCGAAGGACAGTTCAGTGTGTCGCCTTTGTTATTGAGTGAGCTGAAGTTTTGAGGATTTTTTGTGTGGTTGAGCTTATTATTCAAAAATCGGCCCGACATAAGGCTGTGTGCTTTCAGAAGAGGTCCTTCCAAGCACGATTCGCTAAGCACTGGAACACTTCGACGAATGAATCCGCACGCGGGAGATAAGGAGTTGAGCGATCTACTAGACTTCAGCGCGGTTAGTATAAGTTGAAAAATTTCTGACACACTTGCATTCGCAACTTGACTAGATGTTGCGATTAGCGAACGCTGTTGGCTGCACTTTATTAACGATCGTATTTGCCTTGCGTGTTGGCAATTTTTTTGCTCAGATGTTCTCGCCGCCGGGATCCATGGTCGGCAGTAAATCTAGTGGCTCTCTGACGGAAGCTGGGTTATCGAGTTCCATGCACGCATCTCGAACAGGTGCCCTTTGCGTTTTGTTTGTCTGTCGTTCGCCATGAATTAAACTTGATGCATGGAGCTGATAGAACCTGTTACTCTCACTAGAGTAGCTCGAACCGGTTCTTGGCTCCAATGCACATGCTTCTTTGCTATCAGGACTTAAAAGTATTGACTTTGATGGCTGTATTTTATTTTTTCTTTTGTAGGTTCTTTAGACGAGACACCCACGTGGCAGGCTAGTTCTGTGTCGTCCTATGAAGCTCGGGTAAGCAAGCAGTGAATGCAGGAGCTAAATCGGTGATGTTACATGCGCTTGAAAATTAAAACAAATCTTCAACACAAAAGTCATGTAAAACTCGGTTTACATGTCAACAGCAACATTTATTCAAAATTAGGATCACTAAAGCTACCGCACGTGCCCGAACGGAAACTCTATATTTTTAAGCAATAATTTGTTACTTTATAAAGATGCAAAATATTTTACTAACAAGTGGCCCTCTTAGTTATGTATGTTAGCGAAGCTCATGCTGGTTGGAAATGCCCTTCGTTTTTATAACTCGGCATTTTTAACACTTCACTGAGCAAAAGCTGAGCGACTGAATAAATAAAGCTACAAATGAGTGATCGTCTTTTAATTTCACTCATATTTATATTCGTTTTTTTTCTTTTTCAGGGTTACCAAACGGATGGCCATGGTGTCTACAGCACGATTGACGATGTTGAAAGCGACTTTATTTCCCGCAAAGGATCTAGCTTTGCAAGTTCATATCTCAGTTCAAATTCGTTAGGAATAGGTAAGATGATCTGTTAACAAAGAGAAAGAAATTTCGGCGACATTTTAAATGCAAAATTATTCTTTAGCACTTTAATGGTACAGAGATAAAGCTCTCCATGTCTTTGCTTTGTTGTTGTTATGTCGCTTGCATGAAAGCCATGCCTCGTTGCCTCTTTGATATTGTTCGGATGATCAAAGCTCTTCTGATCTAAACACTGACGCGTGCTTCGGCTCAATCTCGTCAAAACTGACCGTGAAAACCTTTGAACCACATGAAAGGCAAGACAGTGGGAAAGTAATCTCAACTTTGCACGGATACCCTTTTGAGAAATTGATTGGCTTGTTTTTCAGTGAATTCACAATGGTGGCGATAAATGTCGAACCCTTTTTTGCGGTTGAAACTGCTTTTCGCGTGATAGATTTTGCCAACCTAAAACGGTAAAATCGGAGACGAAATTAACGCAGAAGAGTTGTTTTAGAGGTTTAGATTTCCTCCTTGAATTTGCGATTATTTTAATATTATAACTTGCGATGCTTGGTAAATAAAATAACCACATTTTATTTTTGTTCCCTTCAATAATATCGAGGCGTTGAATTAATTTATTTGGTTGGGCATTTAAACAATAACAGCATTTTTCTCATGATTTTCCACTGCGCTGAAAGTGCTGAAAGAGTGAATGATTATATCAAATGTATATTTTATTCTATGAGAAATGTTTTCATTCACCATTGTCTGGGCAAGAAAGTAGATATGATAATGTCAGCGAATATGCTTACTCACTGTTAGCCCCACCCTCTATTTTTTACGAATCCTTTTTTCGCTACGGGCTTAAACTTATAGTCCTATAGCACGTACCGTACTTCCAACTGGATGCCACAGATACCTGTTTCAAACACATATTACAAGGTTGATTTGATGTGATGAATAAATCCGCTTTATATCTTGTTAACTAAAACACTGTCACTTATTCACATATTATTGCTTGTTGTTGGACCGTTTATTGCGCACTTGTTGCCGGTTACTAAAATTCATCAGGGTGGATGACTCTTTGCCAGGTGAAAGTCTCAGTCAATTAACACTGCATTAAGTAATGTAACATATTTTGAAGCGGTAATTGGATCAAAACTAGTTGATTTGGCATTTTCTCTAAACTTTAAGCTCAGTTTAACGTTAAAAGAATACATCTGTTTACAGTGACAAGTTTTTGGTGCAAATTATTCGCTTTCATAAACTTGGACATGTTAAACAGTACATGTCATCTTGTACACACTGCATTGGAGTTGTTCTCTAAGAAGTGACATAAGTTAAATACAGGTTTACCAGCTTTTATAAATTTCATATGCAAATATATTTTTTATTTGATTGCTGTATATTGCAAATGTGCTATTGCTTTCCTAAATGTTGGGTGGAATACTTTCCTGCATAAACTAGACATCTCAAAAAGGACAATCTTACAAGACAGAAAGCTGAAATGGCTTGATTCTGAATAAACTGGCGATATCTGTTTCTTAGCAGTAAATGATGACATCTTTGAGGCCTCCTTGGTGGGGGGGTGGGGGGGGGGGAGAATGTATGTCCCTAATCTGAATTTTAAATATGTTAAATACGTTTGATTGGTGTTTTAAGGAGTTTGTCATGTCCCTGTCAGTATTTAACCCATCTTGATGTCATTTGTCAACATTTCATCCAGTTGTATGTTTTAAGGCCATGTCTCTTGTCGGAATTTTACCCTAACGGGCCCTCATCACTAAGAAATGCATTTTGAATATTGTCCTAAATGTTGGGTTCAAGTGTTTCCACTGCACTTTTCTATGCAGATTTGCATAGCAGATATCCTTTTGAAAAGCCATCAACAAAACCTGGATTGTATCAACCCCTGATAATTACTCAATCACGGGTTGATGTCGCTGCTGCTTTTTGAAAACATAGGCACTTTAAACGTGCATGAGGTATTTTGAATGCGTCAGTGTAACTGTACCAAGAATGATGAGGCTACCTTTTTCATCCTAAATATAGACTGTTTTTTGTGCAAAACTGGGTATTGCTGTACATAAATGAAAACACGAAATGCTCAGCTAAGTCGATCCTTATGCTATATATTTACTTTCCTGTGCCTTTCCCTGACATATCTATTGCAAGTTAAGCAAACTGTTAAAGTACATTGATTAGAGGGAAAACTCTCTTTAGAGTTTCTTAAGAAAATGTGGCTTATCGAATACCAAACAGTTACAAAAATACCAGGATTTTTATCATTGTGGTAGATGGTTGCATCATCATAATTCATGAGGTTTTCATGTGCGATTCTTCTCAGTGAAACAGTCTTTGACTCTGACAACTTAATTTTTCATGTTTTAAAAGCTATTGCTTGTTTAAAAAAAAGAGCCGTTCCTTAAGGCATTGGTTACAAAACCAAACAGGTCTTCATACGTTCAAGTTACTATTATTACTGTGAAAAGCCAAGTGCATGAGATGTACAGTCACACATACAGCCAGCACGTGAAAGTGTTAGACTTTGCCCCCTTTCATGGTTCGTACGAGGGAATTCGAGTTATCACAAAGTAATCTAGTAAATAGGATTATAAAAATATCTGGTGCACACAGTTTGCACGTGAAGATGTTGAACTTTGCCCCTTTAACAATTTGTACGAGAAAGAACACATATTGTTTACAAGATTACTTTGCTCAAACAATTTTTTAAACAAGTCACCTCCTTTTCAAACATCTGGAATTAAATTATGCATCATTTTATGTTAAGATTGTTACACTAACATCATTACTTTACTTCCAACAGAATTGTCAAATTGCCAAAATACTGATTTCTACTCATCTCATGTTATTCCACTCAATAAAACAATCTCTAATTATTTCATCACCTGGCTACTTCCAAGTTTATTCGCTAATGCAAAAGTGACGCACCTTAACTTAGCCACTGGGTAAATTAAATACATTTTGATTACTTTTATGACAGCAAACATGTATGAGATATAGTTGCACTTAAGTTGCCGGAACATGAATTTAAAGGTTTATTGAACAATGTACAAGAGAAATTAAGCATGTTTACGGAAGTAATTTACCTGGTACAGCTTTAAAGAATCAGCTCTTGTTCAAACTTCTAAAAACACAAACCCCGTACCTCCAAGTTTAAGTCAATATCTAAATACCAATTATTAACGTTTCGTTTGTACACCTTTGAAAAATATGATTTTTTGTACTTCACTTTGAAGCAGGTGAAACATAATTCACGCTCGTTGTGACGTTCACTATGGCTGAGATCATAAATGTCTTGGACCAGCAGTCACACTAAAATATATGAACCCTTAATTAAACAGCTGCATCACTCATCATTTGAATCATGAAGATATTTCAGTGTTATGCTTCTAAACACCTTTAGCTGTAATAAAAGATGACAAAATTGTGACGAACCAAAATGGCGGTTTAAAGTACCTTTGTTTGACCTTTACCGCAGCAATGCAATGTTTAGATGCCAAAATCTCATTGGTTCCTAGCATAGTACCGCATAGTACCTTCAACCTTATTGGCCCCTGCAACACACATCCAAACAGACAAAGCCACAAAGATACATGCTTACACCACTGACATTTGAAGCAGGTGAAACATAATTCATTCAAGATGAATTTGCTTGATATTTTTTCAACTTCTCCCCACTGTGTCTCTAGGAAATGAATAGGGGAAAAAATGAGAATTCAAATTTTGATCTTGGGGTATAAATGGTTAAATAAGAAAGTTGGAGACGCACCTACACCTGTACACAGGAGTCACCAACATCAGGCCATTGTTTTTATTTATAGTTTTTTCATATACAAGTTTGCTAAAAATAGCAGTCAGGTGGAATATACCTACTACAGCGGCCACTCTCATGGGCTATTTATCAGGCCAACAACCCCTATAAATAGGCTTAGCCAAGAAGACAGTGAAAATGTATTTAGTGGTAAGGAAGCGGGGAGGGGATGGAAATATTGAAAATATGATTTTAAAAAAAACATTATATATTGTCCTGTATCATTTAAGTGGAACCTCTTGTAATTTCACGAGACATTATTTAAACATTTTGTGATCTTAGCCTTCATGGAGTTTAAGGGAAAAGTAGTTGTATACAGTCTCTTACAGATTAACGATTAGCAGTCTATTTCATACAGTGTACTTAGAAGTAAAGTATTTGATGGTTTTTAAAAGGCAACAGGAACTCATGACTGTCTTTGTTTTCTAGCAGGATACAGAGATTCAGGGCTAACAGGAAGCCAGGTGGGTTTTACTTTATTTCTATTTTAAAATGTTAATAATACAGCTGTGTGATGTTTTACAGGTGACAGTTTAGACGGAAATCACTACTCTAATGCAAAAAAGAGTTTCATAACCAAGTGCGTACTGATGGTAAACAGAAGGCGCCAAAAAAATTATGTCATTGCTAGTCTGGGACAAGTGGGTTTTCTTGCTGGGCAAGTAACTTTTAAAACTTGCTTGCCAAATGTGTGAGGATCTAGGCAAGTCATCATCTAACAAAATCATTAACTAAGACAAGCAAGCAGTGGCCCCTGAGGCAAGAAAAATGAGAGAGCTGCCTGCCCAAAACACAAGCTGCCCATGCCAGTTGCATTTTTTCAAAGTTTATGTTTTCATTAGAAAATGACTTTTCTTTTGCCAGGGAAGCTCAGGAACAGCCCACGTTTAACCTTGGGCTTATTTTAACTTAACTGGGGCTATATTTTTTAATTTGGAACTCTTAGAGAAAATTAAAAACCAGTTGTTATTGTTATGATAGTGTAAATCAGCACCTGTACAGCTTTGTCTTTAAAATAACGAAGAAACACACTATAAAAAGCGGAGTCTTGCTAGAAAACGTGTTGCGTCATAGAGTGAAAAGAACCTGGCTGAGAGGACTACAATCTTTAATGGATAACGTTCAGTTTCTGAAGGTGATTTCTTGGAAAAAGGTAGCCCTCTACATGTAACATGTCCATGCAATTTGTGGTACAGGGATAATTTCATTTCAAACACACAGTTAATCGCCGTTGTTGTGGATAACAGAGAAGCTCTAACAGTTGCCTGTTAGCTGCACATTTGTGCATTTTATTTTAAAAAGTAGAAACCTCATGAGTCAGCTCGGAAAATCTAATCTACGGTACTGTTATATTTTATCAGAATCCAATTAAATCTCATGCCATAGGATAGTTGAAAGAGTGAGTTGATGAGTCATTTAAGTAATGCTTCTTAAGAATTTGAAATTGTTTCTCAAGCCATTACTGCAACGTTAGGAGAATTCAAAGAAGTATTGTCAGCCAATTTTGTACTGATTAAAACATAAGCAGCTAAAACTATCATAGTTGTCTATCACTAACTGACATTCTTTTGACAGGCTGGTCTGCCCCCACCATTACAAAGCTCTCATGATGTTTCTCTGTCAAGTCCAGATTGTAAGTACTTTATTGTTATTTAACTCAGGCACCGTTCTGCCTTTCACTGGTTATTAAGTTATTAAGACCCTGAGTAGTCCTATTTTGAGGTTCAGACGGGGGTTTCTGGCACAGTTTACGGACCAAAAGATTTAAGTAATCATGAATCACAGACGTCAAAATTTCATCTTAGTTTTTGAGTCATGATAATCAGCATGTGGAGTGCCGTTTTTTTAGTCCTGTTCTTAAGAAAAGAAAAAAGGGGCAAAAGAGTATCTGAAAAAACAGCAAAGTGGCAAAAAGGAAAAGAAAGACTTGTGCAAATAGCAACTTACAGACCTTCATCATTCTCATTTGACGTTTTCATAGTCTTTTACTCATCTTCCAGAGGTCTCTAAACTGAAAATCTTGAGAAAAATTGGTAATGAAATTCCATGTTTCACGGAAATACCCCTGTACGACCCTCTATATTTTCTTCACTGATCTACGTTTTTCAATAAGTTTGTCAAGTTTATTTTTACATCAAAAAGTGACAATTAATTTTGCAAACTGCTCTACCCACTGCTCTATCAGGGCTAGTCTAGGCATGTGAAGCAAATCGGGTAGGTTGCAACATACTGAAGGTCTAAGTAAACAAAATAACTAAATAAATTACTTAAGAAACAAAAAAGAATCTGTTTAGCAACTAAGTAGGGATTCACCTTAAATTAAAATTAAATCTAGCAAGGATAAGGTAAAGGCTAAACAAAGCTCATCTGCGTTACTGTACAGTTATCTTGGACGAGAGGTGCCCACTTAATACCTACTGTTTGTACTTGTAATCTATAAGTATTTTGATACGTACATGTTTACCAGTATTTAGCAATAATTCCTCGAAACCAAATGGGCTCTGAGTCAATAGCCCATGAGGCCGAAGGCCAAGTGAGCCTTTGACTCAGAGGCCATGCAGGTGAGTGTTTTGGTAAAATCCAACTAGTTGGTTAAAAATATGGTGACAAAACAATTTTAGCTAGACTTAATCCTTTTTTGCCGCCAAAAAGCCGGCACTTTTCGCTACTAGTGGGCTATAACATATAGCCTAGTAGTAAATCAACCAATCAGAATGCAGCATTGATAATAGACCACCAGTTGGATTTTACAAAAAAGATTTAACTGGTCTTCTGTTTGCATTAATGTCATTCATTGGCTACCTGCCTGCTCAGTGAAGTTTACAAAAAGGGTAATGCATGTATTTGCTAAACTATTCAAACTATTTCAAAATGGTTAATATAACAAAACTTGGAAATTCATTTGTCTCAAATCAATAGTTTCCTATTGAGAAGGGCTTGACTAATGTATGCATCTGTCATCTTTGATCGATAGGGAATTGATTTTTAAATTAAAAGAATTGAAACACTTTATCATAAGTAAACCATAGCATTCTTCTCAGGCAATTGACGTCAAGTACTATTATACTGATCATGGTTGTTTCTTTTGCTTTATTCAAAATAATTTGAACCAAAAAGACCATCGCAATTATGACAATAGAACTTAATTAGTTGTGGTATTCTGGTATGTGCACATAATATTGTACGTGCATGGATAATTTAAGTATAGTTTAAATGAGAAAGGACTGAGGAATAACAATGAAACTCAAGGTGCTGCAGTAGAAGACTGAGAAAAATTGAACAACTGATGATAGTCTAATATGATTTAACATCTAAAACTTCATTCAATTAAACTTTGTTTGTAGAATAAACATCTAAAACTTCATTCAATTAAACTTTGTTTGTAGAATATCCAACATAAAAAAGTGCTGAACAAACAATTTGTTTAGGGTTGTAGCATAAATATATACGTATTTTAGAGTAGGTCTTTCCTAAATGAGTGCTGTATGGGTAATCATACGCCTAACTAACTTCATGCAAATATGAATACCTCCTCAAACACTTGTTTGTTTAACTGCCAACCACTTATACAGAGGTAGAAAACTAATAATTATACAAGTTTTCAGAGAGGTTGTTTATTAGTGTACGTGTAGCGGTGTTGTAAGGCATTTAATTCTGCATCTTTGTTAGCTCATCTGTAGAAATTACCAGAACACAACTGAACTGAAACAAATACAGCTCAGTAGTAGTAAATATTTATGAAGTCAAGATATGAATACCGCAGAATGCAGAGCACACATATTAATACTGGTTGTATAACTGAAACATAGATAGTGATACAGGCTCTTACAGCAACTACCTTAGATCCTGGTTAAAAGTACTTTCCCTTTTTTTTTTTTTATCTTGGCACTAAAAAGAGAATTCATGACAGTGCACTGCTTGGTTAGAAACACAGCTCAAAAGTTTGAAAGTGATTACTTATTGCTACTTTTTAAACTTCATAATATTCTTTTGTCTGTTTAAAGAATCTGTTAATATATACTCTACAGTTAAATGTTGGAATGTAAACACAAAGTAACAAAGCTAATAGAAATTTTGCGCAAAACTATGTGAAGTATTTAAAAATATTTTTGCAGTGCACAACAACTCACCTGCTGTGAGCATAATAATTATTATCCTATGTTTTTCATGGTTCTAATTGTCTGCGATTTTGAAATCAGAACCTTTGTGTGCAAAATACACTGTTTAACTCAAGGATTAATGAGAAGTTTAGGTATACAAGCAGTACAGACAAATAGAGTAATCAAATGACTAGTAATTTTCAATCCATGGTTTGTAGCATATTAAAAAACAAACATGTACCTTCTGATTAAACAGTCAAACTGTTTCACTTCACTTGTTTGAAACTGACAAATTGCATTTAAGCCTTTCTTTTGTGTTGGCTGGCTTACTTTTTATTTTTTTTTACTTGCAATCATGATATATATGTAAAAGATTTGTACAAAACATTCTTGTGGCTTGGTTTCTTTGTCTTTCTGATATTTAAGAATGGACTAGAATCCCTTCCTCTAAAAATGTTATTATTTAAAATTGTCTATAAACAAAGGTTTCTTCATTGCTTGAATAATTATCTATATATTTTGGCTTTTTGGAATGTTGCCTGAGGCATGCAAGAGTATTGTTGAGTATATGAAAACTAATTCATGCTCGAACACGTTAACCCTTAGATGTCACTCTTTCTTGACTAGACTGTTTTTAAGTAGTTGTGAAAGAAAGTACAGCAGTTTATTATTCACTTTTCACCAGAGGGTTATATGGTTTAATCTGTTTAAAAACTAAAAGGTCTCAGAGTGAGTTGCTCAATTTAAGATTATACAAAAACGATTGGTTAATTTAAATTAACCAATTTACAAAGTATTTTAAACACACATTTGCTAAATTCATGCACATATACCATACAATGTGAAGTGGACACATTTTTGTTTCTTTTTTTTTTTTTTAGTCAAATTTGATTTTTGTATTTAGAATATGTGCCCAATTTAAATATTATGGTCCTTAACTTTTTGTTTAAAACGTTACAATTTTTTCATGGAAGGTTTTTTTTAGTATTTATAGGACCTTATTTTGACTTGATAATGACGTTCAGCTAACATCGAAACGTCGTCGCTTTTTAGCAATTTTTTAATCTTAAAATGATTTTAAGAAATGTTTTATCGCAATTTTTTATAGTTACATATTGTTTTTGTTAGAATATGTGTATGTATGGTGCTTACTGTTAAAGCTGGAAGGTCAGGACCTCTTATATGCGGTTATACTCTCTGATTTTGTCCTGCACAACTATGTTACACAAAGCTAAATTCAGTACTGATATGCCAATAGACACCTTGGTTCTGACAAGTAAAAAGGTCTAATGAATGTGAAGAACAAAACTTTATGTTGAATTACGGGCAAAAAAGCTAAAGGACTCCCCCGAACTACACGTACTCTTACTTTCTCTTCAAATTAGCTGTACTGTATGTTTAGAGAGTGCCATATTAGGAGCAGGGGGAGATCCCTACCCCTATGAACCTCATGATTTGCAAATGCAAGAGGTGATCATGAAAACTAATGCCCCGGTAAATATTAAAGTGACATATGGGGTCAAGGCAATATTTTGGATTTTCTGTTGGTGAACACCTGTTGATTTCTTCTTTACAAATAGCATAGTGTTGGGGATGACAGGCTATGTTCTCCTGTATTTATATTGGCGCTATAACCCACTAAGCCCCAAGGCTCCACGGTCCCTAACCAAGATTGGTTACCACCAGTGATTGGGACTTATCATTATGCTATGAATCCCTCTCACCCTAGTATTAGATACAAAGTCTTTTTATGACATCAGTAGGGAAATAAAGTTTATGGGGTCAACCCAGGGAGCATCTTCCCAGAATTTTTTCCATCCCACTATACGCACGTGAATTTATATATCACACGTGACTTGTGCTCGATTTTTTTCTTAGACAAAACAATATTCACTTGCGGGATATTTTTTCCAGAATCACCTGGTCCCCTCGCCCCCTCAGAAGTAAGATGGTTGGCCCCCTTAATAGAGCTTTGAAAAGTGACATTTAGATCATGTAATTTTAGACTGTTCACGGTCCCTTACTTTTCTGTAAGATCATTGAGATTGAACACTCTGCCTTAATCTTATGGCTGGCCATCTTGGATGATCGTCAAATCTACTTATGGGGGTGGGGCATGGTTTGAGAGGAGGCAAAAAAAATAGAGGGGCTGTCCTAACATCACTGCAGCTTGCATTCAGGGGGCGTGACAGGGATTTCACGACATTTACCATTTTATTACTTAACAAACTCTGCTTTCAATGAAAACTGTGCCAGACACATTTAGCATGATTTAGCATGTTACAAACATCTCCTACCCAATTTAGAAACAGGGTTTTTTATATAAACAGTTACTGGAACATTCTTCTGATTAAAATTGGCAAACATGCACTGTTGAAACATTTTCCCAATCGAAGCAGCAAGCATAATTGCTTCAACACCAATTACAGTGGAACCCCGCCTTATGGCCACCTCGGTAATACGGTCACTTCATTATTACAGCCACTTTTTTGGCCACCTGGTAAAAATCGCCATGCATTTTCTTGCAGAAAAACCCTTGTTAATATGGCCAAATTTTTTTGGTCCATTGGTGACTGTATTATTGGGGTTCCACTTACTGTAAAACAGTTATTAAAACCTCCGGATACAAAAGCCAGAAATTTTTGACAGGGGGTGTCTTTCTGCATCTTTGTAGAAAAAATTTCAATTCATTTTGGAGATACTGTCTATGTCTTTATTCAAAACTCCCCAACAGGCTACTTGGCTTAAGTGGTTGTTCCTCAAAATTCCAAAACTCAGCTAATGCTAGGAAAGTAGCGATTATTGGCGTTTAAAACAGCCAAGTGGCGTTATGTCATCTCTCCTGCATCAAATGTCAAGAAGAGTCTGCCCTACTTCATGCCAATCTGAAATAAATTCCTTCCCCAGTTTCTTCCACCCAAAATGATGAAGATCCAAAAAAAATAACACTAAAGATTGGTGAACAGGTATTTATGAAAGCACTTTTAGAAATGACAATTTATCAATGGCTTGTCATTCCTGGCAACTTTAAAAACTAAACCAGTTGTCAGTGCAAATTAACGTCTATTGTCTAGTGATCAATCAGATACCTGCAGTGCTGGAACAATGCGCTCCTTGAACACGAGCAGCAGTAATGTTAGGACAGTCCCTCTATTTTCTTGCCTCCATCCCCCCACTGCTATAAACCCCAATGCCTGCCTCCTGGATACATGTGAAACCTAAGATGACCATCCATACTGGTAAGCGCTCGATCATTGCAGTCACTTTTATAAAGTGATAAATCCAAAAAAAAGTCTAAAATCTGTATGTTAATTAAGAGAATGCATGCTGATTATAGCTAAAGGATACAACCCTCCAATTTGCTACCATTTCGGTTACCATGGCGCCTAAAATTTTGGAGCTGGCGACTTGATTTGTAAAAAAGTCTCCCTAAACCAAAAGAGTTGGTTGCCAAATGGCAACCGCGTAAAAACTTTAACTTGGAGGGTTGGGATATGTGCTCTGAGATCATTATAAGTCACCACTGTACAGAGTTTTAAAAGCAGAAACCCAAGATAATATAGGACATGGAAAATGATTATAATAACAGGGCTTCTGATATGTGTCGTGGACATGGAAAATGATTATAATCCCCAAAAACGCATGAAATCCACAGAAATATTTCCAAATACATGTCGGCAAAACATATTTAAAGACATCTTATAAAACTGATGGCTCCAAATTGAACAGTAAGACACTGAACTAAATAAATTGTCTGCTGCGTAAAGTGGTAAAATTACACATTGTATTTTTCCTCTGCTAAATATACACTGGACTGAGCTGGCTTTTCATCCACTGAATTTTACTTTTTCCCGCGAAAAAGAAAAGCTACAGCAAAATAAGAAGCCCTGTAATAAATAAAACTGATGGCTCCAAATTGAACAGTAAGACACTGAACTAAATAAATTTTGTATTTGAAATTGTATTTTTCCTCTGTAAATTCTGTGAAACAGAAAATAACTTCAATATTTGTATTTGAAAGTGTAAATTCTGTGAAACAGATCTTCACATAGAGCATTAATATGTAACTATGGACATTATTACACACCAAAGAGCAGTTTTATTGGTAGTTCGATTTGTTTGCTTTTTGTGCACTATTTAAGAAGCTATAACTAGGAACAAATAACCCACCTAAAGTGCAATAAATGTATTTTAGAATGAATGAATGAGTGTAAGGTCATTTCTATTGTTCTCAGTGCAGTAACATCTAACCTTTGAAGCCAAGGGACTGAGTTGCATACCTGCTATATCCCCCTTTTTTTTACTCTTTTATAAAGCATTGTTATGACAAGGAGGAATTTGATACTGATTGTTCTTAGAGCTATTTTATTGGTTCAATGAGATGTTATGCTCTGTTATTTTAAAAAGGTGTTTGCATTCATGAGGAAAGGTCTTTCAAATATCATATTACAGGAAATGTGCTCTGTTTTGACTTATGATAATTCTCGAGGTTATTTAGCCAAACTGACAATTTCTTTGCTATTTCTATCCATTCGTAATTGCTTTATGTGTTGCTTGAGTTGTACTAGTAATTAATTTTTAATAGTTGGTGGAATTAAACATAGAAAATCACAATGTGGGGAAATCCAAACATGAATCTGTCACTTTTACTGTGTAAACATTCAATTATTAATTATTAAAAATAAAATGTCACAAATTTGTAGAATTTCAAAACAACTGGCCTTTTTAAAATTTTATCTTATGGTAATTTTGTTACGACATTTGCGTGCTTAATCTTGGCAACAAATTACAATAGTCCGAGAACTGTATCTGTAAAAGTTTTAACATTACCTGTGGCTGCCAAATCAACCTTGCACGCTACAAAGCACTTAGTCTCATAGCATGTAACAAAGAGTGACAAAAAGTGCACGTGTTGATTAGAAGTCACTACCCAACATGACTGCCTTGAAGAACGATTTTGTTTTACAAGCACGTGGTTTTTGTACAGACTATTCATTGCCAGTAAGCTCATGTCCTCTCAGAGTACAGTGATCAGTGTTGCCTACCTGAACATGGTAGCACTATGGACATTATTACAAATCTTAGACCAGTTTTGTTGGTAGTTCATGATCAATTTGTTTTGGATTTTTTTTGTGCAAAAATAAAGATTTATATGAAAGTGGAAATGATTCTTGCAGTTGAATTGACAACCTAAGCAGTTGAAAAAGAACCTGAAAAAAATTCAAGCTTGACCAAGAATCAAACCCTATATTTGCAATGACTGGATGCAATGCTCTATTCATCGAGCTTATCAAGCTAACTGAAGAGCAGGCCATTGTGAGTTCATAAGATACCCAATGGTGGAAATGACACGAATTAAAATATATAAAATGAATCATACCGTAAAATTCCGAAAATAAGCCCCGGGGCTTGTATTTTACAAAGGCCCTTTTTGAGGGCCTTTTTTTTGGAGGGGCTTATCTACGGAGGGATATTTGCGTTTCAAAATTGATTGGGCTAGCCTTATGGTTGGAAATAAATGTACTGTTTTGGCTTTGTTTTACTTTGTATTTGAAGCCAATTTTTCAAGTACAAGTCCCCGGGGGGCTTATATTTGGAGGGGCGATTTAACGGAGGGTTTTTTGCGTTACCAGTTTGGGGGGCTTATACGTGGAGGGGCTTATTTTCGGAATTTTATGGTATTTTGAACTGTGGATAAAGATATGAAAGGGACCATTACAAATACGTAAAAAATTTCAGGCTAGACCAGGAATCAAACCCTGACCTATGCAATGGCGTTGTAAATATTCTCTTTCTCTTAATTACTTTGTTTCTAGGGAGAGGATCAAGCAGGAAGTATAAGTCCAGCAAAAACAACAGCTCCCTTTCTGTGAGTAAATGCATTTTAATTATGGGATTTAACAGTCAAATTTACAAGGTTGAAAAATACACTAACCTTGATCTTCCAGTCAGGTCAGGCCATTAATTTCTTATTCAGCTCTAATTGCTAGTTTGAGACTGAAAATGAAATCTGTGAAAAGAGAAGAAATATTAGGCATAATGTTATTGTGTCAAGGTATTTTAATGCCTTGAACACAAGCATTTTTTCTTGATGTTTTTGCTTGATCATTTGGTGTGTGCTAATTTGAGGGGGAACAGTACCTCTAATTTGCAAACCAGAATGGGTTTTTTGTCTCCCAGTCAGACAACATGTGAGAAATAAAGGAAAAACATTCCCTCACCTGGATTAAACATAACCACAAAATTCACCATCCTCCAATACAACTTCAGTGTGACAGTGTCTGTTAAAAATTAACTGTAACAAACCAAAAAGAAGAGAAAACATGTAACATGGGAGGAGTGGTACTGCACAAAGGTCTCCTAGCTGCCTATCCTATTTGTAACTTCTAACTGCAACTGTAAATAGTACTTTCAACGCATGTTTAAAATGTGCCTTAAAATAATACTTGATTGTCACATAAAAACTTGTTTTTTGCATGGAGCTTATATTTTGAAATATTTTCCAAAAAATTCTGCACACACTGACAAATATAGAAGTCATTGTTATTGCCGTTACTGTTGCTGCTGATGGACTAAAAGCATGCAGCTCAAAAAATTCCAACTCTTGCACAACCTGCATTTCCTTTATTGACATTATCTTTGTATGGTCTATTGAGGAAGAATTGTTGACTTTTTTTCAAAAAATTGCCTGTGTTAAGTCTGAAGTCTAAAACAGCTGTTAAAGTAGAAAGAAAAGGCTGCCAAATTCTTCACCTGACTGTAGAAATTGTGGTTTCCTCTTTCGAGATAAAATTACAACTGAATAGGCCCGGTTCTGGCAAGAATCGTTGACACCTTTTGTCACATGATAGCCTAATTATAACTTGAGTGCTTGTGATTGGTAAAAAACATAACCAAGATCATTGTTTGGATGAAAGTATCATCTTACAGTAATTAGATTATAGTCCTAATGTTGCCCGCATGAGGCGCTGTTAGGAAGCAGATTAAATAAGCCAGACAATACTTGGCCTGTTTTTTAGTGCAGTGAATTTGCTAAAAGGTTTTTCCATGTGGAGACATCCATATCCTCACCAGAGGCCTTTACTTCCTTACCATGCCAGGGGAAAGGTATTACTGATATCTCTGAGTGCATTTGAAGCATTTCTGTTGAGCTGTGTTGTTTGAATATTGGGTTTATTTATACGGATGTCACATCACTTTGACTTCAAGATGTGTCCTCAGAGATGAAACAGAAGGTCTTAAATTTTACCTGTGTCATTTCTCTCAGCTAAGATTTTGATCCTAAATCAGTCATAACAGGATGTAGATAAGCTTTGGGAAGATTTTAGAACCTCCAAGAGCTTTTAAAAGTGGTTTCTTGATCCCATATGCTGAGTAACTTGAAACAACTGTTACTTTACTGTGACCCCCCTGTGAAAAGACAATTTGCATGTGCTTTTGCTCCCCAATTATTGTTCTCAATAAATATGTAAGAGGGTTATATTAGGGAGTATTTTGACAAGCCAGCTTTTAGAAGTGACTCCTGTCCTGATATACCTCTTGATCTTGTTTTATCTTTGTGCATGCTTTGGCATCCTAAATGCATCTTTGTCATTCTTTTGAGCGCTAAAATTAAACACTTTCTCCTTCGTATTTCAGGTCTATTCGCCTGGCGCTGATGATATAATGCCTCATCCTGGAGATGCCCTAACTCAATCTCATTACTCTCCAAAAGGAGGAATATATGCTGATGCATACTACATGGGTAAGAAGGGATTATATCATCTTAATTTGCTACAACTAACGGATCTCGTGGCTTGTTCTGCTGTCCTTCATCTTGAACAAGATTCTCCTTGCTATATATCTACTCTCTACATATCTTTTCTGATGTGGATTGAACTTTCTTTCTTCTGCCTCATAGGTAACCATCATTATTGCAGTTTGGTACATGAAACAACAAAATTTATTCAAGAAATAATTAGAGCAAGTTTAGTTTACGTACCTGAGGTCTCTCTCTCTGGTCTTGATAGCAAGCCCTTTCATAAACAACAGTTTTTTTCAAATACCTTCAAATATCATAAAGCGAATGAAGTTTTCTCTGCTATCCACAAAATATATCACTTTGTGATGATTGGATGAAGCTGAAGATCTAGAAATGAGAAGAAAGGACCAAACCTTGATGCCACTTCAACATCTTGTTGGATTGAAATGGTCAAGTCACACATAGCACATGTGTTAAAGATGGTGTTGTTCAACTGACTATTAATGATTACAAGTCTGTTGAAGACCTGCAGTGGCTTAAATACGCACATGATGACTTTTTCATTGCAGGCCATTTTCAGAAGTGTGGTGTGCACTGGCTGTTTTATACATTTATACTCTTAAGCACTTGATTTGTGGTTTCCAGCTGAAGTAACATTATTCTGTCATCAGCCAAATGTGTGTTTTAAATCAAGAGTGTAGCGTAAACCCTTCTTCAGTCCAATTTCCTCTCATGCGGGATTTCTGGTTTCTTTATACAAGCATAATACTCAGTCAATATTATTTTGAATAGCCTTATAGAAGTATGAGAAATACTCATGCATGCAGCCGACTCAGTTTCTCCAAAATAATTGTACAGATAAAAGTTTAGAGCATTCTAACAAGATAGCCGCTACCATTTTGATTATAGAGACTGCTGGTTGTTTCTTTGCTTTTGTGTTGGGTTGTAGTAGCATCTGGCTGATAGATTATTGACGCACCAGATGAGAATGATAAACCAACATCTTGACCAAAGATGCTCTGCATTTCTTTTGTTTGATCTGCTTTTTAACTTAAGTCTTGATTGTCATTAATATAAAAGGAGCTTAACTCTGCCCAGATTTAGTTTTTGAATTTTCAGACAGCATAAACATTTGCTAGTTTCATTTTCCATTCAGGGCTTGCTATCAAAATCTTAATTACTTATTTGACTGAAATTTCTGATGGTCACCGATTCCATGAATTCCTTAAGTTTTTTTAGTGTTGCCCTTCTAATATAATGCAGAACATTGTTATTGTTTGTTAAACTATATTACACCTTTTTTGTTTACTCCTTGTTTAATTCATTGATCTCATGTTTATTGAGAAGTAGGTTTGTGTGGTGTATCAATAATAATCTATTTTCCCCCAAACATCAGACATTGAAAAAGGAACTTTGTATCTTAAGAGAGATGATCGAAACCCACTGACCTCCCTTTCTCTCTGGGCAACAACAATGTTGTAGACATCTTTTCATCCTGATTCTGTCTTTTGAGTTTTTCTTACTTAGAAAATAAAGTAGGAATTATTTGTCTTCTCATACATGTTGACAATAATTACATTTATTGCTAATCAGCCACAACATAACCAGGGAAGATTTCTTAGTCCTTCACCTGGGAAGGTTTCTTAGTCCTTCTCCCATTGTTATTTTATAACTAAAATGATTGTTAAGGAAATATGAAATGGCTCTTTTTGAATGATATCTATGCAGTGTTTCCTCCTAACAATTACCATTCAGTTAATATTTCTCCAGTAATCAGTTTAATACACCTACATTACAAAACAGCCAGAGTGAAGTCTTCTGACTAGACTGAAAGATTATTTCAACTGGAAATGTTATAAAGAGGCCACTACAGTCACCCTAGTTATAGTATTTTCCGGTTATTACAAACAGATTTCTCACATGTTAACCCTTAATAAGCCCCAATATCCAAATACAAATTCTGCAGACTGATCTCCATACATTTCCTTAAAGAATTGGCTGAGAGGATTTGTTTGCTGATCAAAACTTTTCCCATCAGGTGATCATTTCATTGATTCTCACAATATTATCTCTAGATTGTCTATTGATAATGTTGAGAGAAAACTGACTTTGGTCACTCTTGGGTCTTAAAGAGTTAATCTCTTTTGTTTCTCTGGACAGATCATGGTTCACCTGATCCATGGGGGCACGCAGGTCAGCTTGGCCCAGGATCTTATTCAGGCTCAGCGGGGCCATATGGCAGTGCTTACGGCACACACCCAAGGGATAGCATGGTACGTTGTGTATCTTAACTGTGTGCGCAGTTTGGTCTTTGCATTTTCTTTGAAGATGGGTTGATTTTTGGATTGATTTTAGTGAGGGGTTTTGTTTATTTGTTTGCTTTTAGAGTGATGTACGTGGTATTCCTGTTTCAGCCTTTGCAAAGGGCTCAGCCATTCACCAGTCTAGGGTGGGCACTTATTTATGGTGTTATATACACACGTTGTATAACAGTCAACTCTGTGTTGACGACTTCTTTCAAGTTGCTTCAAAGTGCTAACCATTACACTTGGTGAATGTAAAGCTCACTGTTGTAGTTAAGGGTGTTGGGTTGTTGTTTCATTTATAATGCTTTGAATGATGGCTATGGGTTGATCAAAATGTAACAGACTTATACAATAAGCTTGCAGTTACTTCCTTAACCAAACTTGAATGTTCTTTCGTACTAATTTTGTGTACAATGATATTAACAGCAGTAATTATTACTCTGTGTAACAAATGCCAACACTAAAGAGCCTCTCTTCTGTAGAATGTTATTTGCAAAGCTCAAACTATATGTTACCCTAACTGAACTTAACAATAAAAGATTACTATTCCACATGTTATGGAAAAAGTGCTCACTGAACATTGATTAGATAATAATTTAATTTCTTGTTGCTTTAAACAGCAACAACTTAGTTTTTTCTTTACATTGAATTTCTGCATTTTCCTGCAACAACAAAGCTACAGCAGAACCCAAATAACTCAAATTCCCTCTAACTCGAACTAAATTTCCTCTGCCTTCATCAAAATTTCACTGAAATTCACCCTGATAGCTTGAATTGCCCTGCTAACTCGAACTGTTTTTCATTTCCCTTCAGAGTTCGAGTTACCAGGGTTCTACTGTATTTGTTTTTCTGAAAAGAAAACATCCTATTAAAATGCACAAAAAAATTTTGTGGCAAGTTACATGAGAGCAAGTGGAAAGCAAACCTGGTAACACGGGCCAATATGCACCTTAAATCCTCGTCATTTATGTGGAAGGTTTTGATCATGAATTACCAGTATCTACCACTGTAATTAGTCTGGATCTTGACAGATGATGTAACATTGTTCGTGTATAATATGAATTTATGAAAAGCAAAAGTTCATTTTGTTTCCAATGAATTTGTATCTTCTCAATTTTTCACAGGGATACCATCACTTGGGCCATGGGGAGCCAATGGACAGACTTTCAACATTACCACCAATGACATCCTTTAGACAGTCCGGTATGCACCATGGACCTTCGTCTCCATATCTACACTCTTCAGTATCACCCCCTCTAAATGGAAATGATCCCATGGGTAAGCATTACACAGTAAAAACACAGAAGTAAGAACCTGCATTTTCCCAAGTTAGCCTAAACAGGATCTTACATAAATAGTAATTAGCACAAATTTACACTATTCAAGTTCTTAAAAAGGTCCTTATTTTCAGAAGAAAAATAATATAGCTAAGCTAGGTTTATGTGAGGTAAATGTAGCCTGCATAGTGAACGAAATCAACCATCTGCAGTAATCAGCAGTTAATTCTCTCTGTCTATGGCTACAGGTGTAGCCTGATGAAACTGTTTATTGTATGTTCTGTCATTTAAGAAGAGCCATTCAGTTGTGTTTTTATTGTATTTTTTATTTTTATCTGTAGCTGCTCACAGCTCCAGAGCACCAACGTCTGGCTCACAGACTGGGGACACTCTAGGAAAAGCCTTAGCATCAGTAAGTGTGAGAGAATTGTTTAAATGGCCAAAATAAATTATTTTCCTCGCAGGAACAAAGCAGGCAATCCAAAACAGGCAAAATAGGCCCACCTTGCCTAGTTTGGTAGCCAATAAAAACACAGTGGTCACCTTCCGATCAATCAAGGCTTCTAGGAAACTGCCTAACTACCCCTCCCCTAAGCCAGCATTTTGCCCTAAGTGACAAGTAAGTGTTAATGCTGGCTTAGGGGAGGGGTAGGTGGTCAGTGTCCTAGAAACCTTAATTTATCCCCTCATCTGGCTTTTGGGTCAGAGGTATACATATCAAGGAGTCTCATTGACCCTACATTTGAGCTTAAGCTTTAAAGTAATAATTACGTACTAATGTAATTAGTCTGCAATTTGGCTACCAGGGTTAACAAATGAGATTATTTTTGAAACGTGTATTGCAGTCACTTCTTTGTTGGGTGGCCCTCTGTTAAATAAGTAGTAAATGAGTAGTACATCCTAACTCTTGCCACTTTCCCCAGGAGAGCTGCTTAATAATTTCATTTGCCTTAAGTGTGAAACATCAAAATAAATCAACCACTTATGTTGTCAATAATTATTCCAGGACACTCTTAATAAACATGTAGATGATAGTAGCAGACCCACCTACATTAAATGTGTTGTGCAATGTAATACTAAATAACAATAGAGTTTAAGATTCACATATTTGTACCACATGACCCAAGTAATTTCCCCTTAATTGTAATATACTGTTTATTACTTATGCACAAAAATAGTTTCAAACCAGTTTTATCCATAAGAATTGTTCTGAACCGTTTTTATCTGCTTATTTTCTATTCTGAGAAATTCTCAACTTGAATCTGACGTTTGCGACTCTTAATCTCTCTAATCTAACGATAAACTGTTTTGTAGATTTACCCAACAGATAATGGTGGATCATACTCATCCAACCCATCAACACCAGTTGCTTCTCCTCCCCCTTTGGCACCTGTATCAGAAAGGCCCTTGTCAGGTACAGTCAAATAGAAGTTCAGTAGAACTCTGAAGGGAAATGAGAAAAACAGTTCGAGTTAGCAAGGAATTCGAGTTATTGAAGTAAATTTCAGTGAAATTTTGATCAAGGGTAAGGAAATTTTGTTCGAATTAGCAGGGAATTCGAGTTGTTAAGATTCTACTGTAATACCACCGCTCATCTAGACAGATTTCATTCACAACCTTTTTTAGCTTAGGTAGTTAGCAACACACCATTCAAGACTTGGCATTGTTTGAGCATTCTGTTTAATGGTTACCACTAGGATGTCAACCGAAGACTCAACAATTGAATGGTACACAGCAACATAAGCATGTGTGGATGTGTTCTAGGGATTCAGCTAACAGCCAATGTTTACTTAGATACCTTCCAGTGCTCTGGCATCGAGAAGAACCATTTTAATGTTTTCATTTTACAAGAATGTCTTAACATTTGTTGTTGTCATCGTGCTGTGCATGTCTTACACTCCGTGATTGCAAGTACTGCAATTTGGAAATAGTTTCCATTTTCCATTAGTTGTCGTTCTTGTTGGCTTTGTTTCACTATTGATTAAAGAACTTAAACAACTGTTGCTTTCTATGGAGTTACGCATCGTGCTTTGTGTACTCAAAAAGTTGTACATGGCAATCATTTTTTTTTTTCTATTTTCATTCCAGCCGGTTCAGGAGCTTCAGGCCATTCTGCAAGCTGGGGAAGGACAACTCAACCAACCTCGCCTCCGTATGAGAGCCACCTACACTCTCTAGTAAGCAACATAACTGTTTTCATTCAAATTAAGCACTAAGGAGTTTAGGGGAAGGTAGATGCTCCTTATCTGTTTGCAGTTGATGTAGCTCTCTGCCACGGCATTTTAATAAATGGGTAAAGAGTGATCTTGATGAAGTTGCAAGTGTCTACAACAAAGATTAAATGATTGCATAGTGTTTGGAGTTTTTTTTGAAGTCTTAAATGCAAATATGTGCCCTGACCTTCTACTTAGTGGGAGAGAATCAAAATTACTGCAAAATATATTTCCTCTCCATTAATTCCTTGTAGTATTGTCCTCCACAGCAAAGTCGGATGGAGGAAAGGCTTGATGATGCTATTCATGTTCTGCGTACCCATGCTGAAGGAAGTCTCCCTCCTGGCTTAGCTAGTAGCCTACTGAGTGCAGGAGCAGCAGCGGCGGCAGCAGCAGCAGCAGGTGGTGCTGGTGTTCAAGGAGTAAGCTATTCCACATCTGTGGGCAGTAGTGTACCTTCAGTTGTGCAACCCATGGAGCAAATGGTGAGCCAATCTTTTAACCCCTCTCACATCCTAAAGTACCAACGTCAAAATTCAGGAAAATGTTGAAATTTCATTTTGTACTATTCTGAAAGACAAATGGTGCCATGTGAGATTACTTCTGAAGAGGTTTCATTCGAATGGTCACACCATACGATTTCGTCCACAGACTCAAAAGTTAGAACTACCGGTACATACTAAATGTGTAGAACCATGTGAAAGTACTGCTGAAGAGGTTTCATTTGAATGGTAACTCCACAGGATTTCATCCACAGACCCAAAAGTTAGAACTACGTACTAAATAAGTAGTACCATGTGAAAGTACTGCTGAAGAGGTTTCATTTGAATGGTAACTCCATAGGATTTCATCCACAGACGCAATTTAAAATCACCTCACAAGACGCCATCATTCATTCAGTATGAGAGTGAAATGGTTAATTCACTGTCAGGCTTTTCTGGGGGAAAGGAGATGAGAGAAGCAAAAAGGGGAGAGAGCAAAATGAGAGCTCTCTTTCTCTCTCTCTCTCTTCCCCCTCCCCTCTCCCTCCTCCCACTAAAATCTCCTCTCCTCTAACCCCTAAGGGAAACCGGTCGTTACGAACCCAAACGGTGAAACTGCACAAATTTTCTTTCACTTTGAATATAGTTTGCGCGTGAACGAGAAAAAACGTTTTGGGTGAATATTCTTTTTCAAGTATTTTTACAGCTCGACTGAATAAACTTGTATCAAAACGACTAAGTAAGGCCTGATACTCGGGCTAATTAGCTGTTGTCCAAATAGAAATATTTATAATTTAGACATCTGTAAGAATTGCACCTGCACATAGGTTGCTGTTTGACAAAGGAAACAAAAATGTGTCATAATTATAGATAACTGTGCTGATTTATTTTCATCACTCGTGTTTTTTTTTTTTTTTTTTTCCAGAGTCACAGTGGAATGGAAGATGACCATGGCATGACATCTCCTAGTAATTTATCAAGTAGAGGAGCAGGCTCACAAATGTCCCCAAGTAACTCGGAGACCAGTGAATCAAGATGTATGCACCACATTTGAACTTTTCCTTGTACTTGTGTAGTGACCAACATCAATTTTCTCCTAACAATATCTATACAATGTCAAGAGATTAGGTTATGAGAATTAATTAAATGATCACCGAAGAGAAAATGCTGTGATCTTTTATCAAACTCTCTCAACTTATTCTGTCAAGAAATGTATAGATCAGTTTGGAGAATTTGCTTGTGGATATTGGGGCTTAAAGGGTTAAGGCATTTAAAATGTAAATTTCAGTTCAGTAATTGAGGATACAATCAAACCCCTCTTTACATAACATGTCTCTGTAATGGTCAGCTCTCTTGTTCCCTAGGATACCACTTTATACATTTCTTACCTCTGATGAGGACATGTCAGTTATGTGGATACTTAATTTTAATCTTTTGGTGTATGTATCGAGGTGTTTTGATTGTACCTCTATTGTTGCGACAAACTGTGAAAAATTCACTGTCCTCTCAATGATATTGACTCTTCCCACTTTATAACAGTTATAGCCAAATCTGTTTATTAGGGTGGGTAAGCACTTACTTCAAGGTGGTGCTGTTTGTAACCTAAAACTTTAGAATTTATTCAGTTTTGTTGATTGGCTTGAGGATGAAAGTGGACCTCAACATCTTCCTAGGGGAGGTATCTGTTATCAATATTAATTTATTAGTGTACAGTGAAAACCCGTAACTAAGAAACCGCATTTTCCCAAGTTAGAATAAACGGTCCTTACCTTAAGTAATAAGCCATTTCCGAGTTCCTCCCAGGGCCTCTGTATCAAAACGAGGTTAAGTGCTCAGCCTCTGATATGAAAATGATTTTTTAGTCTCATGCAAATAGAATTCATTTCCACAAGAAAGGTTGTGCACTTGGCCTCATTTTGAAAGTGAGGGTTTTTGGGAACTCGGAAGTGGCCTATTAGCACAAGTTTAGGCTATTTGGGTTCTTACATGTAAATAGGTTCTTATTTTCTGAGGAAAAAACACATTACATAGCTAAGAGAATTAGTGGTATTCAGGTCATTTCTTAGGTAAAACTTGTATACCATTAGAATTGCAGCTGGACTAATAAGGCTGAATGTTGACTTAACTTATTTGCCTAAGTGTACAGAATTTTCTAAAGGATTTTAGAAAATAAGAACCTGTTTCAAATTTTAGGCTTAACTGGTTCTTGTATAAAGGGGGCCTAACTGACCAATTTTAGTCTAAGAGGCTCTTAAAACTCGGGTTCCTAGTTGCGGGTTTTTACTGTATATACATGTACAGTGAAGAAAACGTTTCCTGACTAACTCTTCTGTCACAAGACTAGTTTAGTCTAAAACAATGCTGTATATTGCAGTGGTGAAAAGTGGTGTTTATCTACTTGTAGATGGCTCTAAAATGGATACTGGCGAGGGCTCAAAAGGGAGCAAAAAATCGTCATCCGAACAAGACATAAAGAGCAGTGGGGATATTGGAGAGGATATAAACAACAGGGACTTGGTAGTGGATGACCTTGATGATGACGATAAATTAACAGACGATGGTATTGAAGAGGGGGGCAGAGTCAGAGTTGTGCGAGAACAAGAAAGAAGATATGCCAATAATGCCAGAGAAAGGTACAGAATGATCCACTTCCTCTCTTTCATATCACTAACTAATAGATGTTATCGATCGTTTCGATACAAGATTATTCAGTCGAGTTGTAAATAGTTTCAAGTACTTGGCTTGGTTTACGGTCAACTCGCCCAAAAGTCATCTCGCCCAAAGTTTTGTCGCCCGAAACCAGAGTTATGTCGTGTCGCCCGAAATTTTTACCCAAGTAGCCCGCAATTTTATCATGCTCAGCAACATCCTTACATCTTAATCGCGCTTATTTCGTTTCATCAAATCTTTAAATGAACAAGATATGTTACTCTTTTGACGTTCTTGTTTCGTTTCATTAAGGCTAAAAGAACGGGATCCGATACACATCCATCCCGCTTCTTTCAACTTTTACAGAGTTGATTAGGATTCCATAGGCAGGATTGACAGGATGCTGTTGTGTCGTTCAAAATCTTGTCTAAGATCCCATAGTATCTTGACTAAAATTAATAACGATTTTATAGGATTTTGTCTAGGATCCTGTGAGATCCCATAGGATCTTGTATGATTCCACTGTTAAAAATTTTACAGAGTGCTGTGGAGTCCTTTCATGCTTGTCTAAGATCCCCTACCCATCCCATAGGATCCTGTAAAATCACCATAGCATCACTGCCTAAAGAACGAGACTTTTACACAATTATCCCGCTTGTTTGGCTCATTATCGCTTACAGAACGAGATGTATTACATACACTCTTTATTAAAATTTCGGCCCACTTGAATCGACATTCTTCGGACGCGATGACTTTCGGGCGACTTGACCCGTTACCACTCAGCTTAAAGAAACTCGGGTCAACATTATCTTATTTCCGGGTTAGTACTATTTTGCCTTTTAACAAATGGGCCCAGGAACTTTATATCCCACAAATTCAGAGTGCTTTTACTTGTAATTTAACTTAAGGACTTGTGACGTAATTAGAAAGAAGGTAGTAGTGACGTGTGAAATTGAGGGAATATCGATGTCGAGAAAAATATTATTTTATATATTACAAATTTCTGCCTCAGAATGAAAAGAAGTTGTCTGTAAAGGGTCAAAGTGAAATAAATGATTTTCCCGAGGTCCAATTTCACAGGGCTCGAAATTAACGCTCGCAAACTCGCAAAGTGGGAGTGATTTTGATAATTTGCGAGTGAGAAAAATATCCACTAGCAAACGTTTGTGAGTTAGAATCATTTGTGTCTCTCAAACAAAAGGAAAGAACTTGCTAGTGGTCTCACCAGTTTGCTAGTGGAAAAAATCTTACTAGCAAAACTTTGCAAGTGCACTAAAAAGTTAAAGGGGCTGTGTCACGGCAGTCCAGTTCAGTTTGTTTAATTTTGCCAATTACTCGCCCTCAATTGCTATGGAACTTAAAGTAAGCAAAGAAATTACATGTAAATGACAAAATCAGAGATCCGAGACAAACAAATATGTCTCCTGAGCATTATTTTTGAAGTTGCAAGCAGCAGTGATCAACTTTGAAAAACTGTTAGGCTGAACAGTTTTCAAAAACCCTAATTTCAATCCGTTTCAATCTTCTTTTGTTTTGCCCATCCGTGGCATCTGTTGTTTCTGTTATGTTATTTTAATTTTTTAAGCGGTTATTTTTTTTGTTTCTCTTAATTTAACGGGTATTTTGTACTTTCCTAATTTGGCTGAATTTCGTCACACAGCTCCTTGAACTTCGAGCCCTGTTCTTGTTCTCTAGCCATTAGTAGACATTTGTCCTGTCACCTTGCCTTAACAGGTTGAGAGTTCGAGACATAAATGGAGCGTTCAAAGAATTGGGACGAATGTGTATGATGCATTTACAGGGTGACAAAGGCAATGCTAGTTCTAAACAAACTAAGGTGAGATACAGAACTAGCTATCTACAACTCAAACAATGATGACTGTTTATTACAGGATGAGGGTCCGAGACATCAATGGTGCCTTCAAAGAATTGGGCCGAATGTGTCAATTACATTTACAGAACGACAAACCCCAAACAAAGGTAACATTCAACAGGTCTTATAATGACAGTTGTAGATGTCTCATGAACAAGAGTTGTTGAGGCAGCTTGTTAATCTCTGCCGTGGCACTGTTTGCTTCTGCGACCAAGATCGTGAGGACTCAGTAGAACTCCCTGATTCTAACATAGTAAAGCTCTGAAGTGGGACCCCGATGAACGTTTGAGGAACGTCTTAAATTCATTTTGTAAATCGCAAGAGAACAAAAAAATAGTACCAACCTAAAACATTGCCCGAGAGGTTTCTATTGAATTGGTACAACAAGTTCTTTCTTCTCTAAATACAGAATCAGTGACAGATAGATACAGGGTTGTAAAGCGCTTTTTATAGTAATTTTGCAACTGCTTTGGTTTTGTGTTTGAGTGAAAAACATCTTGCCACGTTTTCAGCCAGTGAACGCAAGACCAAAACCAGTGTTGACTTGATAGATCGCGTTTTCGTTTCCTCCGATATTTGATTCGTTTATTATATTGCCTGCTCTTATTGCGATCCGCTGATGTTATGACTCGGTTTGGGTTGTACAATACTGACAGTTTCCCTTGGATTAATTGGTAGAATGCGTGGCGCCCAGTTACATCTCTATACAGTTACTTACATCTCCACATCCAGGGTGATGTGCTCGTTATTCTTCAATTCTTCTTATACACTAAATTGCCGCTTTCAGTTCGTTTCATTTCACGATTTGTACTTGTTTCACCTTTACCGTGCTTCTTTTATGACACGTGTCTTTTTTTCACAGCTTGTCATTCTTCACCAAGCAGTGTCAGTTATCACGAGTTTGGAGTCTCAAGTGCGAGGTGAGCTTTTGACTTGTGTTATCGTGTGCGTCTACGAACACGTGATTATTGTGATGATGATGATATTGATGATGACGACGATGATTTACAGTGTTTTTAGTTTGTTTGTTTGTTTGTTTGTTTGTTTGTGTCGTGTATGCCAAAAGCTGTTTTGTTTTGAGAAGTAGGGAAAACGTATATCAAAGCTCGAGTAAGATTTGAAAGTGTTTTTAGTTAACTCTCTAACTTGCTTATTTTGGCTTTACAGAGCGAAACTTGAACCCAAAAGCAGCTTGTCTCAAGAGGCGGGAAGAAGAAAAAGTAGAAGAAGAGGCGCCTGAAAAGAGAGCTGTACCAGGTGTGGACAAACCATTCGATACCCCAGGGGCAGCTGCTGCTCGAGGAAGAGGTCGACGGGGTAGAAGGTCCTCAAGAGGTGAGTGGGTGTTGTTTCCATTAAGAGAGAATGATGGAACAGAAAAGTAATCTTAAGGCGTTGGCCGGAATATGTGAATTTCAGTTAAGTTATTTTTAAAGGTTTTAATGAAACAGAAGTCTTTTTCCTAAGAGGTCCGCACATTTTTATCGATTGTTTGAAATGTCATCAAGTCCAGGCGCAACTGCCTGAAAACGAACAATGTAGGAATATTGTAATGGCTAGTGTTGATTTCTGTCTTGACAACACGAAAACTCTTCCTTAAGGCCTGTCTAAATTTACAGTTAAACTGGATTCTGACAGTGCCTTTAACCTGAAAAGCAGCGTTATAGCGCGACCATTCAAAAATAACTGTTTTTTAACGTGGTAAAGTTACCCTGCTCTCTTTAGGTTGATGGGTTGTTGTTTCTATAGGCCAAAAAAGAAAAAAGACCCTCACCTTGTCGTTTCTATTAACAGGGGCCTTTAACGGAGGGGGCCGAGGCATGACTTGTGGACCTTTAGACGGATACGAATCGACGGACCATGGAGATCCACCCTCCTTAAATGCGTGACAAAAGTAAACATGGAACAAAGTTTTTAATGGATAAAAAAGCTATCAGAGTTTTATGTAATTTACAGATAAAGTACTAAATGCAGGAAAATAAGTTTAGACAAAAGAAGCAAAAAAAAGAGAAACTATTTCATCCACATTGTCAACATTTTCACTTCTTTTTGTTCATGACACTATTTGAATCATGAGGCTTTCACGAACAAGGCTGCTAACCTTATTGTCGTGATTTCTATCCAGAGTAACGAGACAGAGGTCAGTTATTATCATGGTCACAAATGAAGGTTGAACACTGTCAGCCAACGAACTCTGTGGCCGTATGTGGTAACCGTTGAGCTACTGTGAGTGTCAACAATCCCTCACGCCTCGACTCTCTTAGGAATGAAACCCGATTTTTGTATTCCTACGGTTGATTCGATATCCACGCGCCTTTTTTTTCAAACTCTAAGTTCGTGCCAAGTCGTACAAAATTCTGCTCTTAAGTTGTAAATAGAAAATTACGTCCAGCCCTTCAATCGTCTTAGTTCTATGTAACAACGTATTTTAAAACCATTTTGAGCTTTAATCGTGTTCTGTAGCAACCCACATTTCGTCATCACCAAGGTTCCATAAGATCAAGGAATTGATCATTGTGTTCTTGCTTGACACTAAAACTTTCTAACACCGTCCGTGTCCGTCCTTTCCCTCGAGATGTAGTGTTAATGTTGGTGTTGCTCTACAGAACGCTTTTAATTGGGCGATTACCATCCGTATACTTGTCGCTTAGACTACCAAGCATTTTAGATGATATTTTTATGAATTACAGTAACTATTTAGAATAACAATAGAGTAGTCGCGTAATATCCAGACTCGCTCCCGGGCCTTTATTGTTTTTAGAACGAAAGAAGATTGGATGCAAGTGAAGCGATGTTATAGACAAGCAAACAAAAGCATGCTACACTTACGTCCAGTGCCTTCTCGTCCTTCAGTAAAAAAGGAAAGGTGACGAATCTGTCTTGAGTATTTCCCTTTGTAACGTAATCACCCAGACACGGCCTATCTAGCTATGTATTTATCCCGAGCGCCGTTTTAGAGGTGTCCACTTACAGGTATATTCTATACCTTCAAGAAAAAAAATCCGCATTAGCTACCATCATTCCAGACTGCTCCTCTCTTTCTGCCTGCAGCATATCTATTCTATGCCACAGATATCAAACGCTCGCCCTAATTTGGAGATTTTGTACAAAAGATTAAGAACCTCTAGTTATAGGCTCGATTTCCGTCGGTTCTCGTTCCTCCCCCTCTCCGAGAAGAGCCTAGGGACCTTACGATCCGACTACCGCGACTTCCATGAAAACCTCGCTGAAAAGTAGACTCCGCATCCTCTCAAAACATTTCGCGATTATCCCAAGTCGCCTAGTTACTTAAAAGAAGGGAATTTATGTTGAAGCTGAAGAGAGGGGGCCACGCCCGAGTTCAGACAGAGACGGTAGAATTTATCGCCTTGCCGTTCTCGTCTTTCAAAAAAACTTAAAATTTGGTCTTTTTACGTCGTAGTCGTGCAGGGACGGCAGAGAAATGTACAAAAAAGCCTGCTGCACGTGCAAAGTTGTTGTTTTGCCAACTAAACCTATTGCTTTTTGACGTTGCTGTTCCCTTCGCCGTCTTAGTTTCGTAAGGTCCCTACTATTCGAGGGAGGGGCACGAACTCATTTCCCGAACAGCGGCTGGTAATAGAGCCTACGCTAGTTATAGATACGAACCGCTTTTTCTGAGCTGTATCTGGGTGATAATTTAATCACTGGATCGCCTTACGGCATTGTTCGGTAATAGTAGAGAAATAGTCGCTGATGTACATAGAACTAAATCCTGATCAGTGAAATAAATGACTAACTTGCATACGATGTTTTGCCGCAAAATTTTGATGACTAAAAATACGTGCTACTCGATCTGTCATTTTTTCCTTATGTTGTCGATACCCCCCCCCAAAAAAAAGTTTTAGGTTGCGTGCAAACGGACGCAACAACCCCCAACATTGTTGCGCCGACAATATTGGGAGTTGTTGCGTGCGTGTTGGCAGTGGTGTGCAAACGTATGCAGCAACTCTCAACAATGTTGGGACCTGCAGTGCATCGTGGGAAGGATACAACCCATAAGTCTTTGTAAACCATGCGTAATGAGCGTGCGTGGCCCCAACAATGTTGGAAGAACTGTGCAAACGGATCCAACGCTGCACTTCAGCGATCACGGAACAAAAGAGATGTTGGGAGTTGTTGGCTGAAAAGGTTGACCGGTTTCAAACTTTGCGCAGCAACACGCAACAACATGCAACAGGGTGTGCAAGCGGACGCAACATGTAACATCCAACAATGTTTGGAGTTGTTGGTCAACAATGTTGCGTCTGTTTGCACGGGGCTTTACAGCTATTCAGGGTCTTTTAGAAAAAAAAGGTGATGTACTGATGCTCTTTTTTGAAAATCAACAATTCAACAATAATCTAAGGATTATGATGAGGGTCTCAGTGATGCTGGAAACGACAAAGGATATGAGAGGAAAGTGCGCCCTTTATACATTTTGATGAAAACTGCGCAAATCGGCCACTGGTCGGTAACTATTGGAACTAACCACTTCGCGCCCGTGCTTTATTGCGACCAAAGTGCTGAAAAACGAAGTGCCTGAGGAGAAAGCAAGGATTTACATATCGACCGAACTTCTTAGCAAATTGAGACTGAAAAACGAGGATTTTTGGAAATTTAGCCTACGTAGCAAGCGTTTCCGCGCGAGTTCGTGGAGAGTGTTGGGATGAGAGCAAAAAAGAGAAATGAACTGAACTTTCATTTCTTTTGCTCTCACTCCAACTTTCGTGCGATTAGTCGAACGGAAACGCTTGCGTCGCCGGCTATGTCCGAATAATATCCACCTACAGCGAAGCGTTATATTTACACAGAGGCTATGCAATGGCCATGCTGATGACTTGTTTCCATTTTTTTTTCCATTTACAGAAACGGTTATGTCATAGCCTCCCACGCAGGCGTTTTTTGGGCGAGGCGTTTTTCCTCCCTCCCGGGAATGACGGAGCATGTACCCCCAACCCCTCGCCCCTCCGAAACGTTACTTTTTCATTTTGTCGCTGTCAAAAAGGCCGGATAATTAAACACTTTAATCTTCAAATGTTCTATGTTAGTGTTCTAATTTATCATTACGAACCAGCATGAAATACAACGATAAGTAGGTATAAAACTTTGCCTTTATCATTTAAAGACCTTTAAAGTGAACTTTCGACTGGTTTCAAGGGAAACAAAACTTGCAAGGACAGTGGTGGATCAAGACATTAAGATAAGGGGGTGGGGTGGGGGGCGGTCATCCAGATCCTGACCCTTATCGGATAAGGGGGAGCCCGGTCTCAAAAAACCTTTTTTTAGCCCCTTGGGTCTCAGTTTGGTCTAAAAATAAGGGGGGCCTGGGACCCCTGGGACCCTTCCCTGGATCAGCTGCCACTGCAAAGAAATATCTAGGGGAAAAAATTTCCGCACACTGATCCTAGGCAAGAAAGCAAAATCCTACCAATGCCATTTCATACCAATGCAATGAAATTTGTTTGGCAGGCCATGTAGGCTATACTATTTTAGACTGGAAAGACAAACTTGGACTATTAAACTTTACCTCTGTCCAGTTCCTAGTTTGTGCTGGAGCCTCGATCTAGGGCTCAAAACTACAGCGAGCGAAATGAGGTTAAATACTTTTTACCATCAGGGACTAGACAGAGAATAGAACATATATATAAAATTTCTCAATAAATGCTGTTTATAAAAATACCGCTTCAGCGTTATTTTTTAAACTGTTTTCTGTCTGTTAATAACAGCCTGCGTCTCCAGCGATTCCGTGCAGTTTTGGAGCAAGGAACGAGGAACGAGAGTCAAATGGGGCGAGTGAAAGAGCTCTCGTTCAATTTCTCGCGCGGCCAAAACCGAAAATCCCGCTCCTTGGTCTTTCTTCCCTGGAAGGCTACATTTTGCGCCTGTAACTTGAAGTAAAAGTCTTTAAAAAAAGCCTTTTATTTTGGGGAGCTTGAAACATTGGCGCCGAGTGAAACTGTTATCTGTCACCTCATTACCACTTCTTTTATGGTAATGATGTTGGAAATTCAACGACAGCTTGGCTCTCGTTGGAATATTTCAAGAGGGTTTTGGTTACTAAAAATCCGGTTTCTCCAAATACTGATCATAATTAATCTTAAATCAAATTTATTTTACAGGACCTAGTCAAGTAAGAGTAATCTCTAAAATACCAGTCGGTAAAAAAACACAGGATTTAAACTAATCAATTGTCCTTCGGGATTTAAATAGTCTCGGGAATCAGGTACTCGGACAAAGCAGCCACCGGGACTTTGTCGACTTCCCGTGACCTAATATACGTAATCATTTTGCAACGGTCCAACCTACTTCACTGTAATGGCGAGTGAAGGTAAGTTTTTTTGTTAGATTTTTGTCTCTGTTGTATATCTGAAGTGCTAGACAGCAATATTTAGCTCGAGGACCTAGGTTAACTTCACGTCGATCAGTACGATATACGTGAGGTTCTTCACACACACGGAGGTTAATTTGGTAAACCCAGAAAAAGACAGCCGTGATAGGTAGTGCGGCGCTGCGCCAGTTTTCCTTCTCAAAAGTTTTCCCGCTTTTAGTTTTGCCCACTGACTACATAAAATGCAACGGTAATGCGACCAACAGGTATAAAACTGTGGCTTTCATTTTACTAAAGGTCCGTATGCCCAGCCTTGCGTGACCCACGTGCGGAAGGGCAGCGAAATTTCCTTTTATTTTAAGCGGCTGAGCTTAAAGTCTACAATGTGACTTAAAAGCTGACTAATTTGAGGTTTTTACAGAATGTTTACTTTCGTTTAGCAGATTTTTGGGTATTTTTCGGCGCATTTTAAGTACCAATCAAGTACGGATCGCGATCTTTAAGCTGCGTAGCCATGCGTCAGTGACCGTGAGTCAGCACGGAAGAGAGTTAGGTTTATGATGCGGAAATAAAGCAGGCACACTTTGAAAAAACTTTCTTGCAGCCGTGTTCTATCTCGAGCTGTGAAACGTAGGAAACCGGTAACAAACGACCTGCATGATACATGATTCAGTGTGATGATAGCTTGGACAGTATGTCAGTATTGTTAATCCAGCATTAATAAGAACAATAGCACTGTGAAGACGTTACAGGCTGTCTGGTTCAGTCGTCCGAATTTTAATCGTCGCGCTTGTAAAACCTCACAGAAGCTTATGACCAAACAAAGGGCCGAAAAAAGCAGAGGTTAAACAGGCGTTAAAAAACACTTGTTATTAACAGTGTATTAAAAAGGCGTGAATGTGCGAATATACCGTCACAACTGAAAAGAAAAGGGTAGAGTCAATATAATTAACTGATCTACATTTTAATACACAGAACTGACTTTATAAATAAATTAAAAAAATCCTCGCCCCCTCACCCCCTCCCCAATTCATTCATCTCCTATCCGATCTATTTATATTTCGGGCGTACCCTCCCTGATTTCCCATTCCCGTCTGTTGGCCATGACAGATGCAACAATGCAACAACGAGCTTTATTTGCATGACCTTACAAGTACATACAGTATTGCAAAAGCTATTTTAGGAAAGATCCTGCCTCGAAAGACCGCTGTCACTCTCTAGCTGGTCAATAAATGTTGTTGCTGGGCGCCCCCTTGAGCGTCTGCCGTGTTTTGGATCCCAAAGTGTTAGTTGGAAAACAGTCTTCATTCTACTTAATTTATACAATTCTGGTTTTATTTATTGTGAGTCAACACTTGTTAACATTTTGTGTTCACTGTTCAAATTCGTACAAAGGAAACCTTAATGGGCCAAATTGCGATTAGGCCAAATTTTATTAAGCGGCTTAATTCAGTGCTACCCCAATCAGTCTATACTTTATGACGAAAATTAATAGTATTTATAGAATTCTTACTTCAATCCCGTTACCTTATCCCGACCCAAATTTTCGCTCAATCCCCCGTAATGCCGAGGGTTATATTCAGCATTCCACACCCCGTACAAACTTCAATCCCGAGTCTCGCTCCTATTTTGGTTTAAAACCCTGAATCTCGTCCTTCAAATAAGGAAAATCCCGCATCCCTAAAATTATATTGCGCACCCCCTATAGTCGGACAAGAGAGGATGATCTGACTGCGTCATGCCTTTTTTGGACAGTTAACTTAAAATATGGTTGCTTAAAAGTGTCACATACTTGAGCGTTGATTGAGCGACGCGATCAGTATTTTCAGTTGTACCCTATTCGACTGGTTTTGGTCGTTTTCTGAGTTACGAAAGGCTTGTACCAAGCAAAGAAAATTAAAAAGTCGTAACAGAATATTAAAAAGTCATTGGGTACTCTTCCGCGATGTACAGGGCAGAAATGCGAGTCTAAGGTACGGGAAGGAGGCGGAGAAGGTAAGAGAAATATAGCCTTTCCGCCCTTTCTCCGCTTTTTACTTCAGGTCGGGTTCTGTTCGATTTTCACCGGCCTTAGAGGGCTAATTCAAAGGTACCGAGAGATCCAGAGTCACTCTTTAAGTGAAACCTCGGGTTAATTCGTTAATTGGGGCTTAGTAAGCTCAACTCGAATTCCTTGTTCGTCTCAACAAATGAAAGAAAGAGGGTTGAAAATGATGGTCTTCATAAAATGTGCACGCGGACGTTTTTTCTCGAAAAACATGCGAAGTCCAATTGAAATTAGCAAAGTTTAAGCTCTGCAAAACTCTGTTCCAGCAAGGAAAAGAACCGACAATGTCGCCGGGAAAAAATAGATAGATTTAGCTAACTTTTCTAACTATGACAAACTGTGCAGTTTCAGCTCCGGGCGTATTTTGGCCAGCCCGTTCCTGGTCTGCAGGTTCAACAGTGCTAAGACAAAAACAGAGCAGAAGCGGAAAACGGGTCGATAAAATAAAGCAAGTGATCGGTCTTACTCAAAACTGTTGCGTCAGTTGAGGCGTTGAAAATTTAACGATGTAAAATAGAGAACAGTGTACGAGTCTGTGCTGTTGTGTATTGAACTTTGCATTCCACTCAGGGACTCGTGATTACCTTGGTCCCAGAGGTCTTCCTTGAAGTTTTTTCTCCGCGAGAAAGAACGTGCCCCGTGATTTAGTATTCAGTAATTGACATCCATTTAGCCTTAATTTATATCGGAATTTTCCGCTTATGTGCACCCCCACTTGTAAGCCCACTGCGTCAGTTATAAACAAAAAAATACATCCTGTTATAAGTACTTCCGGATATAAGCCACCCTCCAGCTTTTATTGAAATAAATTCGATTTTTTTAGACGTTTTGAAGCTTAAAAAAAAAAACAAAGTAAATTAAAAAAGTATTTTGGTCAGCGCTGCTATATAGCTTTGTTTGAAATGCTTTTCAGTCCGATGGTAAGCACCCCCAACCCCCCTACCCCCCCTCCTCTCCCACCCCCATCACCTTGGGGGGATAAGTCCTCCTAAACCCCCTAACGAAGTTTACGGTATGTTTGAATTATTATTTTCAGACAGCTGCTCTTGTGGTCCAGGGTATGCGTCACCCCTGGATGCCATGAAGGGCCCCAGGGAACAGATAGTTTATCTTCCCTGCATCCGTACAAGCCCTGGTGTTGATAAACCGGACTATCTTGCTACCGTTGATGTGGACCCTCGATCTCCAACCTACTCGAAGGTAGGCCGGGAAAGCCTGCACTTATTTATTAAATAAGTACCTTTGTCCTTCATTTATACACCCAGGAAGACTTGATAATAGTAACACAGGCAAAATCTTAGCTGTAGGAGTTGACTGCACAGAATCTTTGCCATATCACACGGCTTCGTCCTGGCCCCAGTTATTTAAAAGCTGGGTAGCGGCATCCATTGGATAAAGGCTATCCACAGGATAAGTATGAAAGGAGACTAACTGCACTATCTGTTGAATAGAAATTCATCCGATGGATAGCGTTAACCAACTTTTGAACAAAAGGGGCGAGAAGAGTAGATTAAGATATAAAAGGAACGTTTTTACCCTGCTCTTAACGCTTGCAGGTCATTCATCGTTTGGAAGTTCCTTTCAAAGGAGACGAGTTGCATCATAGTGGTTGGAACGCCTGCAGTAGGTATGTTCCACTTCCCCTCGACTCTTTGACTGCTGCCCTTTCACGTTTCTTTTCTGATTTCCCTGCAGTGAATTCCGTTTTGAGGCTACGGCAGTTAATGTTAGTCGCAATGGCCCGGAAGCCCTTTAGACTTTTCTGGCTTGAACGTGCACAACGTTCAATAGCATTCCTATAAGTTCAAACATTAACAATTTGCTGCTGTGAACAAAAAAGAAAAGATTATGCACCGTTAGAAAGCATCCAATTTATAAAATAACTAAGATAGTAGGCGCGTTCTGATTGGTTAAAAACCTATGGTTTATTGTGCCGGTAAACTCATAGAAAACTTAAAGTTATCATTTTTATAAAAACAATAGAGCTCACTTTCTATGGATTTACCAGCTCGGCTCTTGAGTTACAAGCTTTTCTCGTGTTCTCCCCTAACATGCCGCGTGGGTCACCACGCCGGTAAACCCATAGAAAGTGTGGTCTATTGCTTAAATAAATTGTACCCCCTTGTTTTCCTCTTTCATACATGTAATCAGTGTTAGTCTCCAGTAAATATGGACTATTTGAGCGAGATGTCAGTAAATCCTAACTCCTCCAATAATTGGGTTACCCATAAGCCCTAGTGGACCTAGTGGCGTTGGTTTGAGAGGAGGATGGAGGGGAAATTCGGGAGCTCTTGACGCAGACTAATGGGCAATATTAGCTTACTACATGTTAGTAACAGTAGGACTTCGATTCTGAGCCAAGGACAACCTAGTCTCCCACACAGGCATTTTTACGAAGGGACGAAATACGAGCTTCCCTAAAAACGCCTATATGGGGGGCCAAGGACAACTTATTGTCAAGCAATTCCATGCTGCCAGATTGTCGTGGAAAACAAAAATTATGTCCGTACATTCGCCATGTTTACTTACATTTCAGTTCCGCTGCTCTTGTGCTGTCCGTATTCGGGCTGCGATTTCCCGCGATTAAGTTACTGGAAAATCAGCCAAACACAAGCATTTTGATGTATATCGAGTAAAGGTACGGTAAAACCCGCAACAAAATCGTGCCACTTGTTTTGCGGCATTACTGCAAAACGAGTTGATTAGCGATGTTGCGCGTTTTACCACCCACAAACCAAACCTGTCCTGCAACAAATCTGGTCGTTGCAGGTTGCGAAAAGTTTTTGCAGAAAGTAGAGAGAAGTTCTACTTTTTGCAACAAAATCTGAACATGTTGCCTATTTTACCTGCCCAAGGCAAACTGGTTTTGCAACAAGTGACGTAACTGCCTTGAATGACCCGACTCCCGCGTAATTTTATCCAATCAGACGTCCATATTCACGCAACTTGCAACAGCCTGATTTGTTGCAAGGCAGGTTTAAACGTAGTAGTTAAAACACGAAAATTTCCTGTTTTCAACTAGTTTTGCGCAATATTGTAAAAGAACTTGCACGTTTTTGCTTCCCGTTTTACCTTGACTTTAAGACGCAACTGAGAGAACAAGAGATGTGTTGCAAAAAGCAAGACGCTTTCTACTTGAAGCAAACAATTTGTTGGAGGAACTTGCGAGCTTGTGAAAATATGGTCTACAATGCGTCTCCATTTTTATTCCTTCACAAACAAATAACACTTCAACTTTTCATTCTGTTCTCTCATTTACGTTTTTTTGGTCATTTTGTGCCATTTTCCAGTTGTTTTGGTGACTCGTCCCAGAACAGGAATCGCCTTATCATGCCTTCCTTGATATCTAGTCGCATTTACATCTTTGATGTAGAAACTGATCCCAGGGCCCCACGGATACACAAGGTGAGGATAAAGGTTTTATTTTCTTTCGTTTAGCTCTTAAACAAATCGGTAATACAGTCGAACATTCTGTAAGTGACCAGCCAAAATGCGAAGATTTATTTTTTACCTACGAGAATGGAACCACAGGGGGACAGATGTACGAACTCTTGGAAAGAAAATTTACAGCATACAATTTCCGAGTAACGATATATGTAGTTCTAGCTGATCTCTGTCACAGTCACTATGTTCCACGTTGTTTCGCATATCATAGAATCTGAGTATCAGAGTACATGCAGCGAATATCGACGTAGACTCCGATTGATTTAGAAAATATATATATATAAGTTTGGTCTTGCTATCGGATTCTTACGACTGACTACTTTCATTTGAAAAGCTAAAACAACTAATAAAACTTACCGCAATTGGCCCCTACAGAAAATACCATAACATACAATAATGGTCTTTGTTTGTCACCCCAAAATTTTGCAGAAACATTGTTTTCAGTTTATCTTGGGGCCATTTTAACTCCCAAGAGAAACTGAAGACAATGTTTGTGCAAAATTTTGGGGTGACAAACAAAGAGCTTTTTAGTATGTTATGGTATTTTCTGAAGTGGTCAATTTCCCTATCTGCCGAAAACCTGTAGTGAATATTCATTTGGATAAGCACAATAACTCAGGTCAGCCCGGGAGAAGGATTCTAGAGCGAACCCCTCAGCAGTACCAGCCTACGTAGCTGGTGGTTTTGGGGTTTTTTTCATCTCTGGTTCGTAAAGTAAGAGATACATCCGCGCACTCCCCTCACCCCCACCCCCGTCAATTTCTCGTTTGACCTCGGTTCAGCTTTCGCGCGGGTGTATCTCTTTTACGAATCAATAACGTAAAAGGAAACAAACAAAAAAACCCGCCAGCTAAGCAGACTAGGTTTTAAGGGATGTTTGTTATGTTTGAGTGAATAGTTCGTTCTCAATCCGAGGCAAAAGCACATATTTGAGGAGTATCTGATTATATGTTTATAATCAAGGCTTAATCTGTGGTTCTGTGGTAGATTATTCCACCAGAAGAGGTCGCAGAGAAGACCGGACTTGGCTATCCTCACACAACACACTGCTTGGCAAATGGGGAAGTTATGATCAGCTCGATTGGCAAACCTAACGGAGATGCAGAAGGTAATTCGTACGAAGTGTACTGTAGTGAATACCTCAGAAAAAGAGACTCGTTTAGCAATGACTGAGCTACAAGCTACCATCGTATTTAATTAAATCAATCTGTGAACATCTGTCATTTTCCAACCGTTTTCTTTCAAGGAGGATTTGTTATACTGGATGGCAAGACATTTGATGTTAAAGGCCGTTGGGAGAATGGGTCCCCCGCCCCGATGGGCTATGACTTCTGGTATCAGCCTCGCTTCAATGTGATGATAAGCACGGAATGGGGCGCGCCTAAAGCTCTTACTAAAGGATTTAAGGTGGAAGATGTTACTGCCGGTAAGCGATGTTATTATCACATAATTCAAACTTGGAGGTTTAACTTATCTCTTAAACGGTGTAAGTTACACTTGAAATTTTTACATTGCACATAACTAACAAACCTATCTATCAGACCCTATCAGAAACCAAGAACACTCAGAGGGCAAAAAATGCACCCTGGGGGGTCACATGGGGATGTGTATAAGGAGCGAATAAGATAGAATCCTCTGCTGACTTCAAGAGTCTGAGTAACTCTGTTAGAACCATGATCAGAAGATATGGCTAAATCGAAGATGTATTCGCCACAACTAAAAAAGATTAATAAAATGTTTCTGTTTTGTTTTCAAAAACGTTCTTTATAAGTAAAATGAAACTACAGCTGTGAGACTCTCTATGGGTATTTACGACGAAATTAATGAGATGACGATCTTAAATATTAAAAAGCGACGATGGCATTTCCATTCCGATCACGTTTGACAACGTTAGTCGTGCGATGACGACTAAGAAATCTGCCAAATAGTCTGCTGCACGTTCAGAATTTTCGCTTTTCTTTTTTTATTTTCTTATTCTTAAAGTTTACAAGTTATGCCATGGTGTATATGGAAAAAGCAGTTAAAATAATACTTTTTTGTTTTAGTTCGCTTGAAAATTGTCCCTTTAGTTTGAATCTTTTCCTTTTCCGATAAATATGGACGACTAACCGGGCTAAAAATTCATCCTAGTTAAGAGCGTTCTGTGGTTAAATGTTCAGTCAAGAAGTACGATTTCGGCTCCCAGCCTGAAGCATTTTAAAACTAAAAGTGTCCGTTCATTTTGGTTCAGAGTAGGCTCCCGCTTGTACGCCGGTACTGGTCGGAGCCACAAGCATACATAATCTATTATGAATCTTTTTAGGGCTGTATGGTTCTCGCCTGCACGTGTGGGACTGGACCAAACGGACTTTGAAGCAGACTATTGACTTGGGAGTCGGTACCATTCCCCTAGAGATCAGGTTCCTGCACAACCCTGACCAGCCGCAAGGATTCACTGGATGTGCCCTAAGCAGTACCATTGTCAGATTCTTCCAAAACGAGGTAAGGACGTATGCGATAACGGAAAAATGAAAAATGCGAACAAAACCCAACTTGAACCCTCGCCCTATTAGTAACTTCATTTTCAATTCTATTCTTTTATCCCGTTTATCCATTTCCCGTTGCCCTTGCTTGTTCCCGCTCCCCGTATTCCGTTTTAGTAATATCCAGCAAGGACTCGAATAGAAAGCAAACAATAAACACATGCGGACACAAACAGCGCAATCCTTCCACAGCTGTTCTGAGTTTCTCGAGGTACGTTTTGACGGAGATCCCGATTTTTTAAAGGTTTTTTTCGCAAATGTTATTTCTTGTTAACTTCGCCGCGGCTTTGCTAGTCTTTTTCTTGATGTGAAGTATCTTCCAAGGAGTTCTTTAGAATAATAATAGTCGGTTTAATTAAAGAGCCCGTGTACATTATTCTTATTGTTAACCTTAGCATACTGTGGTAGAATCCACGTCGGTGACGAGGCCTTCTCTCCTTAATATTGTTACTGAACAATAGATTTTCCGTAGTTACAAAACAAGCCATACATGTCATGTCATAGAATGTATCTTAATGTGGGGTTGTGAATGTACCCCATCGAATTTCCAAGGTAATACTGTTCCACTAAACTACCCGATAAGAATTTACGTTATAATATCCACCCACTCGCATCCAATGCATTATCCACTTTATGCATAATTCTGTTGTGATAAGTGTTTTATCAAACGGTTCTTGTATTTCAGGTGGACTCTTGGAGTGCAGAAACAGTGGTCAGCGTTCCAGCCAAGAAGGTTGAAGGCTGGGCTCTACCGGAAATGCCTGGTAAGGAATACGAGAGTTAGTACATTGATTTATATAACCTGAGTATCAGGCCTTCCTAAGGGGCTAGGGGAGAGGAGATTTATACGGAGTGATTTCGCAAAGACGGGGCCTAGAGGGAGGGGGGGCGCACTCGATAAAGCTCGTACTGGGAGGCTCCGCCCCGAGGTCTAACTCCTTACCCTTTTATATAACAACTGCAGTAAATGCACATTCTTTAAAATATGAATAAATCACAAAACCAGAACGCTTTCTCGATTTTTCACAGCCATAAAATACATCCGTTAGCCCTTTTTACCGACCGAAATGACAGATTCCCTACCCCTTCATTAATGTCTGAAAAAGGTACCACTTTCAGGCGGAGCCTCCCTGTATAGGCCATTATAGCGGGAGTACCCCCCAAGAGACAGGGGCGATAACTAAGTCCGGCATTTCTGAAGAAGCGCTCTCCACCAGCCGAGCGCGATGGAGCATCTTCCCCTACTTGAATTACCTGACTCCTTCCCGCAAAAACAAACTTGTAATGACTAAGGTGGCTAGTGGACGTCGGCCTCGTTCTTTTTTTCATGCGTCGAGAGAAATAACTTACTAATCTATCTAAATATTAACCTGACAGGACCCCACTGATATTAACTTGGCACTCCCTTATTAGGCCTGATAACAGATATCCTTATTTCACTGGATGATAAGTTCCTGTATTTCAGCAACTGGATTCATGGCGACCTCAGGCAGTATGATATCACTGATCCCAAGCACCCAAAGCTTGTCGGACAGGTAAATTAAATGAGCAAACGCGGTCAGGTGTGGGGGAGGGGGGGGAACCAACATTACGGCGTTCAAAATGCTGAAAGCTGTGATGCAAACTAAACCTAAAAACTAACTAGCCAATCGCATTATAATTAAGAACAAATCATAAGGCATTAGACAAATTGCGCTAAGATTAAACCTTCATGTTTCTGGCTCTATAACTGTTTATTATTTATTTATTTATTTTTCTTTTTGATAGAATTTGTTGATTTGCGAATTGTAGAATAATGGTCACGTAACATATCACGTGATTCACTGAAATAATAGTTAAATTTTACATTATTAAGGACTTTGAGGTCTTTCTGTGTACCAAATTTCGTTTCAGTTCCACTCTCTTTGCTGGAGATATAACCCGTAAAGTAAACCCATTAGACCCAGGCCTGTTGGATGCAATGTGCCAATACGACGGCCTTAGGTCGTGAGACTAACAATTTTGATATCATTTATAGCTGTTTATTGGTGGCAGCATCGTCAACGATGGTCCAGTTAAGGTGGTTGAAGACTCTGAACTGAGTGGACAGCCTGCGCCAGCATATGTGAAGGGCAAGCGAGTAGAGGGTGGTCCACAGATGATTCAGCTCAGTTTAGATGGAAAGCGTCTTTATGTCACTACTTCACTGTACAGCGTGTGGGACAATCAGTTCTACCCCAGTCTCTCTAAGTAAGTGTTATTGATTATCTCTATTGGCGTCTCGAGATGGATTACTTCGAAAACTTCCTGAACGTGAATGGGGGCATGGCGGAACATTTAGCACTATCCGCCTTGCCTTTTATAAAAGAGGTATTTAAACAATCAAAAGGTCCTTTGCAACTAGTCATCAACGTTGGACAAAACGCCATACTAGAGAGCAAGAGATGCATTAACGCAAGAAAAACAAAGAGCCCATATCTTTTAAAATGGTAGTAATTTTCTTTGTTTGTCTTCTCCCAGTGCGTCTCTTTTCTCTAGCATATGTCAGACCATCCGCAAAGGACCTATTGACTGTTTAAATACCTTTTTACCATCGTGGTGGCAAGGACTAGAAATTATCAACCTTTCTAATGGCAACCATTGTCTCAATTTATTTCAATCATACTCGCGCCCAAGGTGTTTTTCGCCAGGTTAGTACCCTTTCGTTCTAGCCTGACCACAGACGTCTTTCTTTTTCTTGGACAATTTCGACAACGCGGGAGCGAAACGAAGCGCGGGAGAGCTTGCAAGGAGCACCCTTGAGCGCTTGCCGTCAATAAATCCCCAGTGGTTTTATACGCGCGTTCGACGATCTCTACTAAGGAGAAAATAAAGGCTCTTTGAACAGGCTACTTTCGTTCTAGAGTAAAGTGTAAATAACTGAGCCTTGCTCTATCTCTCCAGGAAAGGCGCCATGTTGCTTCAAGTTGACGTTGACACAGTCAACGGTGGTCTGACCTTGAATCCAGACTTTTTTGTGGATTTCGGTGACGAACCTGGGGGTCCATGCCTCGCTCATGAAGTGCGATATCCGGGGGGAGACTGCTCCTCTGATATATGGTTGGCTGACACCAAACCCGCAAAACTGTAACATTTCAAAGAGAGTACTAAGAAAAAAGACCGGACCCAAGAAAAAGCAGAAGAGCTATACTGAAGAAACTAATATAAGCTGGAACTTTCCATGAATCATTAAAAATAAAAGTTTTTCCTGTTTGTTAACTGGTAAAGTTTTGACTAGGGAATAAAATATGAGTCATACAGAAATAAAGGCTGAACTCTATTTTGCGTCTTCGTACTCAATGAACATAAGTTCTCGTGATCAACGCGCCAAGCAAAACGCAATCCAAGTACAACAGAGAGGAGATGTGTGACGTCACGTTACCATAATAGCAAATTTCTGGGTCACATGTACAACAACAAGGAGTTTTTGAAACGGCGACGGGGAGCAGGAAAAAAACAGTAGGTTTAGATCGGCAAAAAACACAACTTTGCAAGTGCATCACGCTTTTTAGTACATTTCATAGCCGTTGTTGCACGACTGCGACATGAAACTTCGGAGTAGGTGAGCACAACAAAAAAATTTTCTTTTTCTAAACTCGCCAACATTTGACAAATTAAATGAAATTAAATTAGATCGATGAAGTTTGAAACAGTGCGAATCCACTTTTTAAGTGATGTTTTGGTTTGTTGTCATCCACAAATTTTGCTACCATGGCAACGTGACGTAACGACTTCTCCTCTCTATTGAAGAACGGACAGGGCCAGGTACCTTTTAGGAGCTTATTACTTCGGCGGAGCGAGAAGTAAAGGATTCGCGAGGCTCAGGAATGTATCAAAGTTAACTTTTTTTGACAAGATTGGGCACGTAAAGCCTGTAGGTTTTCGGTTTTATTCGGCTATTTGACGAAGTGAGAGCCGAATTAGTTCGAGATATCTCGAGATCACTTCGATTTCTTTGATTTATTCTTTAACTTTTTCTAGGAAGAAAGAATTATTATTTCGGCTTTCCCGGAGTTTGAACCAACTCACCTGTGTGACCCGTCAGATCAGAGCAGACTCTAAGGCCCAGTTCAGACGTCGTGCTTCTGCCTTGCCGAACTTAACTGTAATTTGGTTCGACTGTAGCACGGCAGGAAAACAACTTTGATTCAGACGTCGTGCCAGAGTCGAACCAAACTCAGGATTTACTGATGCCTCGTAACAATTCTTTTCCCAACTCCCCGTGGGAACAAAATCTCGCCAAAATACATTAATATAATTTATGAAGTTTGTTTAGCGCGGCAGAAGCACGACGTTTGAATCGCTGCCGTGCCAGAGCCGTGTAGCACGGCAGCGCTTGTCGAACTTAATTGCTCGCCGAACTTAATTCAATAGTTTGATTCAGACGCCGTGCTTCTGCCGTGCTTTTGTCGAACTTAATTCCTGAATTTAGTTCGGCACGGCAGAAGCACGACGTCTCAACTGGGCCTAAGTTGAGGGATTAGCCGATTGCGCTACTGCGACCCAAGGTAGTTGCATATGAAAAATAATTATGAATCGGGACAAGATTGGGCGTGCAAGTTAGTGACTTTCGGCTTGTTTCGGCTATTTCACGAAATGAGACCTGACTACTTCGTTATATCTTGAGATCACTTCGAGTTTAGTCTTTAATTTACTCGAGGAATAAATAGAGGATATTACGGGCCGCGCAGAGACAAGAAATTTCTTGTCAAGTGTTGAAAAACATTTCACGAGCCCTCCTTTCGAACTGTTTCAAAGTTACAAAATGCGGCACAAAGACATTTTGTCTTTGTTGAGTGTTACGTAGTAAAATTGCCTTTATGCGTTGCCTGACTTTCTCGAACGTTCTCTACGTTTTTGGATTATTCATGAATAATTAATTAGGGTATGTTTACATTTCAGCATGAGTCAGCAGATCTGCATCAGTTACTGAAATCATAAAATATGTCGAAAAGCTACTACTATTCGCCTATTTAGTATTTTCTAGAACCTTATTTCAAACGGTATACAAGTTCCAAGCGAGTTCTTTTGACGAACCAAGTTTTTTCCCACGAGCTGGAGTACTGTGTTTAGTCAAGTGTGACGAAAGTTGAGTTTACAAGTTGGCGGCTGTGTATAAAAGTGGGACGGGGACAAGGGGACGGGGACATCGGGACGCGTGTGTGGGGACTTGGGACTTGGGACTTGGGGACGCGAGACGAGGGACTTGAGGACATCAAGTATGGGACGTGGGGACGCGTGGGACGGGGACGCGAGGACGTCAAATACAGGGACGCAGGGGACGCGGAATAGGAATAATTATTGCAAAAGTCGGAGGTAAATGCGATATCAGTCACTTTCCTCGTGAATATGATTTGGTGAAGGCAGCCCACCCTGTCCTCCTTAGGGTTCCTCCATGCCTGTTTACGAAGCGAAGACTCGGCGAAGACCCCCTGCATTGAAGAAAGTGAAACCGTTGTCCTTGTCTTCTTGCTGATGGAATATTGGAGCCCAAAGCAGAGTAGAGTGGGTTGCGGACGCCAAAATTTTAGTAGAACAGCATTCGATTCCAAATAAATACAAAATTAAGTGGCATAAGCGAGCTTTGAAGCGCGAAGTGCTAGCTCCGAAATCCATCGCCTGTACCACGAATCCACGGGGGATTCAAATATTGTAGCAATATTTATTGTGTCCTACATATTTTTAGTGGCAAACCTAACATTAAATCCTTGCTAACAGTACTTAAAGGTTGATTTTCACTGACGCGTTTTTGGCTATGCATGTTAACGCAAGTAAATTTTAATCACGTAAATAAGATAGAGGCGAGATATAAATTGTTGAGATTAAACATGAAGTTGAGCGAGATTCTACTTTTACGCTTACGTGCGACCTTTCAGACATTGCCTCTATTTTATTTTCGAAGGTAAATTTTACGGAGGCATGGAAAAATTGCGCGACAGTGGAAATCAACCCTAACCCTAATCACGATAGTCGGTGCGCTTACTCCTATTATAAAGAAATATTTTGTGTAAACATCATAAGGTGTCCAGTGTGGTTTTGGAAGATGGAATCATAACACATTTTCACGAAGAAAGAGATATCGCATTCACCTCCGACTTTTGCAATAATTATTCACATTCCGCGTCCCCTGCGTCCCTGTGTTTGACGTCCCCGCGTCGCCGTCCCACACGTCCCCACGTCCCATAGTTGATGTCCTCAAGTCCCTGACGTCTCGCGTCCCCAAGTTCCAAGTCCCCACACACGCGTCCCGATGTCCCCGTCCCCTTGTGCCCGTCCCACTTTTATACACAGCCCAAGTTGGCGGAAGCCGTAAGATATCTGAAGTTCAAGTGAGAGTTTGCCATTATTGGCAGAGCCTGTTTAGTTTAAATTAAGTTCAAGCCATTTTGTTTTGGCGGATGCTGTGTTTTAAAGCTCTGTCAAGGCTATGTTCCTTTGGTATTAAACTTCCTTGTGTTAATGCGACATCCCTACGTGCTGATAGTTAGTTAATAATTATCCTCAAAACATTCGAACTCGTAACATCGAGTTTTAGCTAATTCCATGCTCAACGTAATAGACTCCTTACCCATGCCTTAAATATCTTTAGTCAGTACACGAGACTGCTATGCTGTTTTTGAAGCCTGATGTGACTAAGAAAAATAGAGAATTCTTTTTCACTGTTTGTTTTGTGAGACTTGTTATTCACCGCCAGTAACCTCGTGTTTGACGTAGGTCTAAACGTTTAGAACCAAGTCAAATTTAGAAGGATTTCTATGGAGTCATCAGAGTCAACAAAGATCTTAATCGATTCATGCAGAGTCTTTCTCAAGTACGCCAAAAGAGAGCAAGTGGAATGCTTGCCTGGTGGTCAGATACACAGATAACCGCCGCCTGGTTAGCTCAGTTGTGAGAGCGCCGGTCTACTGAGCGGGAGGTCGCGGGTTCAAACCCCGGCCGGACCAACACTCAGGGTCTTTAAATAACTGAGGAGAAAGTGCTGCCTTTGTAATAATATCTGCAAACGGCTAGACTTTCTAGTCTTCTCGGATAAGGACGATAAACCGTAGGCCCCGTCTCACAAGCCCTTGCACATGTATTAAATCTGTGGGACGTTAAAGAACCCACACACTCTTCGTAAAGAGTAGGGCACGTAGTGCCCGGTGTAGTGGCCTATCTCACTTTCACACTCATGTATGGGGGCATCATTACTCATTCCTTCACTACTTGTAAACTGCACCTTAAGCAGTCTGGCAAAGTCCCCCAAACAGTGTTGTAAATTATCCCTGAAAAGCCCTGAGGGGAGTGGATAATAAGATATTTACAATTTACAATGCGATAAACCAATGTCTAGCCTGCTAGAAACATATTAATACTGATTTTAAGATACCACGACGGAGACGGCAACAAAAACGGAGAAAACGCAAAAAGTTTAGATTGGCAAAACAACAACTTGGCACGTGCATCATGCTTTTTTGTAGAGTTTCTTTGCCGTCGTTGCACGTCTACGACGTGAAACCTCGCAATTTCACGTTATATGGAGGACGGGAACACAAGACAACGATTTTCTTTCTCTTTTGTGAAGTTAGATACTGTCCTTTAGAATTCCACTCCTGAAAAAAATCACCAACCCATGGCAAACTAGAAGAGTTGGAATAAGAGCGATGAAATTTGAAACAGAGCAAATCCTATTTTGGGGTGAAGTTTTCGCTGCTGTTGCAGTCGTCTTTGCTTACGATCCCTAATTGGGAGCAACAAGAATAAATATTCCAATGGATATAGAAAACCAGCGAAGCTTAAGCCATTTAAACTTTTTATGACATTGACTTGAAATCAGTGATAATCATGAATTTCTTGATCAGTTTCATCTCAGCTCATTTCCGCGCTCATCGCCAAACAAGATCCGCTAGCTACGCACAGCATGTAAATCAAAATCAAAATCAAAACAGTGGGCTCACATTTTTTGGATTTGCAAAGTAATTAGCATCCGATGAACACATTTTTATCGGCCAATCAGAGATGACTTTTTTCCGATTTAAGCCTTGTCCCTTGCTGCTGACCAAAAGGATCGCAGTATCTGGGTTGTCCAGTGTACTATCATGCGCGCGCAAAAGAAATCAAGCAGGGGAAAGCTGATTATGACGTCATTAAATTAACGTACAAAAATCGCTGACTATTATTTTTGGCGGTTGGCTTGTTCTATTTGCGTGTTTAAAATATTTTAAAATGCCTTCGTTCCGTGAGTTAAAAGACAAAATCAGAGTTTTAGAAGAGGAAAACAAGACGTTGC